GGTCAAATGACTGGATGATGGTTTGCCTGCAACCCAAGGGGAAAGCTCTAAGAAGACCACCAGCGATCAATAACGCATCGATCCTGTCGCACGTTGCGCCAACCCCAGCAAGAGCAGTTCCTGTTCCAAAGGCAGTGGCTGCTAGGCCCAATGATGGGAACAGCACTGGCGTTATTGCTGAAGGGCACAGCGCCACGGTCGTTGATGCGAATGTCACTGCTGTTCCTGATGTTGATGGGCCCCGCGTCGCACCTGTTGATGACGGGGGCAGCGCTGTTGCTGATGGGCACCGTGCCGCCGTTGCTGATGCAGTTTCTGGCGATGGACAAAGCGCCGGTGTGCCTGAAGAGTCGCTTGCACAACAGCGCATGATCTGTCATAATGAGATGGTGGAAAGTGAGCAAGAGCTTAGAGCCCTGTCATGTGGCCACATGGAGCACTCGGAGTGCGTGAACACGTACATGGAGGTTTCAAGCAAAACGCTAGACGAGAGCTGCCCTTACAGGTGTCACCAGTCAATCAGGGCCATCATGGCTCCGCTGTAGACCAGCCAGAGGCTTGAAAGATTTGATGAGGGTTTGTCAAAGTGTCTGACTGACTGCGTGGTTTGACCACATGCACTCAGTGAATTTTGCCTTATGAGATGGGTTATGGTGTAGGAAAAATACCTACATAATAAGAGACTACAGCCAGCCAATTAGTTCTGTAGTGAGTGGCATGACATGTCATCTTTGGAAAAATGCACGATGCTGGATTGTGATTCAGTGTGGTGCTTGATTGGTTGTTTGAATCAATCAAAAGGGTTTCCCTTAGCCTTAGAGATCAGTGTGTCTTATGAGTGTGAACAGTACTTTGCTTCTTGAGCATCATTGGACTCCAATAACATTCTACACGCTTGCTTGTCAGTGTGGCAATTGGAGGATTTCAGCTCAGTGTATTTAATCGAGTCACTGTGTTGCGCTCTTTGTCTTATTGTTGCTCTTTCAATGAACAAATTTCAAATGTTTCCGGAGCTGGAGTTGCACTTTTGCGACACTTTGTTGCACTTTTGTGTCACTTGTGTGAATTTGCAAACGTCAGCTTTTTGCACTTTTGCGTCACTTGTTTGCACCTCTTTGCACTTTTGCGTCACTTGTCTGCACTTCACTGCACTTTAAATCTTATTGGTCATGAAATCTGAGGGTAAATCAACGTCAAACTGATTTGAGCTGATTTGGAACTAAAAACATCTAGGCGCCACTATCGTGACACCAAGACAGCCCTGCTGGGCGGCTCAGTGGTGCCTCCGGTCTCAAGAAGTGCTCTAAAAAAATCCCGAAAAGAATAGTAATGATTAAAGTATGAGTCAAAAAAGTTAATAAAACATTCGTGATGGAGTTGTTTTTGTTCGGCGCACTTGGCGCGCAAGAGTAATGCATATGTTTATTATAGTGAATAAATAACGTGTATGATGATGGTATTTGATTTGAACAGTGCACATTGTGCTTTCGCTTGGTGTCTGAATATGAGTGTGACCCAAGGCAAGGCTCTTGTGAGAATGAGGAAATGGGTTGGTCGCTGGGAACTCAATCCGTTTCGGGCGATCGTCAAACTTTTCCTGACCAAGCCAGTAGTGCGACCTTTTGGCGCAAAAAACAATTTCAATTCTGGTGCCAAAAGGGCGCGCCCTACACCCTCCATATGAAGCCTCGCGGACTCTCATATTTGAGGTTCGGTTAGTTACTTAGGGTCTTAGGGTGAAGTTGATCTTGGACTTGCTCAAAAGAAGCGTGGGAAGTTGAAAGAAAGCACTCTTCTCAAGCGCTTCAAACCCCGCAACGAAGTAGGAAGTTCGAAGTCGTCGATGTCGGCAAATTACTTTGATTAGTAGTAACGTGTCGTTTTTCTGCTGAAAAGAAGTCACAAAAGAGCGTCTGCCAAGGAAAAATCACGCGCTGCAATAGTAGCCGAAGGTCTCCGTGGCGAAGTAGCAGACTCCCGACTGAAACTGGTGATTTGAATTGGGGAGAGCCCTATTTCATTTCTGACCTTCAGTGTATTCTTCAAGACCTTACTTGAGCTGGATAAGTCCAACAACTCTTTGGCAACATTACACTGGTGTCCAATGCTGTTCACATTCTTTCCAGAAATGCAGGGCTGGTGCTTGGTTGACACGCTCACAGCCTTGGTGCTGCGCTATTGGAAGACCTGTGCCGAGATAGCGCATAAACCTTAATTTGACTTTGTGGAGTATTTTGCAGGCAAGGGCAACCTTAGCCGGGCACGCATCAAAAATGCGTGGCCTGCGATGGATACCCTGTACAGCGAGGAACATCATGAGTTGACAAAGCCTTCTGGACTGCAGTTGGCCTTGGAGAGCATTTTCAGCTGCAAGAACCTTACTTGCGCAGTGCTCTTCAGCCAAAACTTGACTAGTTTCAAACACATTACTTGTCACAATCCCTGCCAGCACAGTGCTCTTCAGTCAAAACTTGACTACATTCAAAAAACTTGCTTGTTACGATTCCAGTCAGCAGAGCGCTCTTCAGCAAAAGTTTTTCTAGATTCAAAAAATCTTGCAGTAACAACCCCTGCCAGCACAGTGCTCAGCAAAATTTCGACTAGTTACTATTCAAAAATCTGACAATCCCTGCCAACACAGCCAAAACTTGACTACTTTCAAAAAAATTGCTCAATGCCTTCAGCCAAAACTTGACTAGCTTCAAAAACCTTACTTGTCACAATCCCTGCCAGCACAGAGCTCCCAAAACTTGACTAGTTTCAACCTTACTTGTTACAATCCCTGACAGCACAGTGCTCCTCGACTCGTCGATTATCGTAAAGGAACCGTTTGCTCTTAGTACTTGATTCATTGTACTTTGTAAGTTCACTTGTCGCTCGACTCGTCAACTTATCGTAAAAGGAAACGTTGTACTTTCATTTTGTTTGCAAGTTCACTCGTGGCTCGACTCGTGGACTTACTCGTGAAAACACTTTTGGCTCACTCATACTTTTACTCGGTGAGAATTTTTGAACAAAATCATTTCTAGTCATATGTAATCTTTTTTTGTCTCATCTTTGATCTTACTTAAGATCAACTATGATTAAAGCAATTTCAAAACTGCAAAAAAAAAGATTAGCCAGGGTGCCCTCAAAGGGTGCCCATCTGGAGGGTCATCTTTAGTTTACTGACGTAGCCTGCTCCCGACCCAAAGACAAGCACCTGCCACCTCAGCACCAGCTGCGTGCACCACCTCCTAATACCTAAGGAAATAGAAGACCAGGTCCGAGTCATCCTGAACCTCACTCACAGGCGGCCACTCGGCGACAGTGAGCATCGAAAAGACGGGCTGGCTATTTTGGTGAAGCGTTGAGCCAAAGTGTCAAGACGTTCCAAGCATCGGGACTGGTCGTGCGGCAACACAACTCATAATATTTTTGACACGTGACTCTTCAAAATGATTTCCGACACACCAAGCCTGCACATGCACTATGTAGGAACATGTTCTTGTTTGTCTAAAGCAAAAATTTGTGTGTTTTTCCCTCAGAAACCACAGCAAATTCGTTTGCGTCCCACGCGGACCCTACACAGGACTGGTCCAGAGACATCGCAGGCTGCCAGCGGCCCGGCCTTGAGTATGAATTACGTCCGAAAGGAGAAAAGAACACAACATGACTTGCGCTGTTGACGCAACGGCTTGTCACTTTCCGCTTTAGTATTTCGTTTGGGCGTAGGTTAACAGGAGATGTAAGTAGCTGGTAAGATTTCAAGAGGAAGCTCCTAGTAGCAAGGACGCAGTAGATCAATCGAAATTGAAGTGTCTGCCCCGGGGAGAAGCGTTGAAACAAAATAAAGAGAGGAGCGAAAGAAGAGAACGGCTCCAACGGGACTTTGTTCAAGAGCCCTCCCTTCTTTGTTTCTTCTCTTTGTTCATCCATGTTCCTAGACATTTCTAGTCTTATTTTTGTTTCGACAGGGTTCGTGCGTCATTTGCTGCAATTGCATGGAACCAAGGCAAGCGCCAGTGACATGATGACTTCCGTCATAGTTCGCCAGTGAAGCGACTGCTGGGCAGGGCTTGGCTTGCTTCTGGGCACTTGAGGCCCTCTTATCTTGTTTTTTCTTGCTGTCCCAGCATGTTTGAGCAAATGATCAAAAGCTGCGCCCCGACCAGAAGAAGAGAGCGCTGGACGCTTGTTTCGCGGTCGGTCACGGTCAACTTGTTTCACACCTGATGCGTTGGTGCGCTTTTTTTGGCCTTTTGAATAAGGCCATGAAAGAGTTGAAACGTGTCGCGCACTGAAAACGAATGAAATAATAGCACCAAAAGGACTCGAGCACCCCCTTCTTGCCAAAAGGTGTCACCTTCTTGCATCAAGGAATCAAGAGACATCGTGATGGAGGAACTGGCGGGAACCGGGTATCTTGGGTTCACAAGTGGGGAGTGCACTCAGTGTCCGTCTAACTTGCCGGCGCACGATGATCCTTGAACTTTGTTCCACAGATTAGACCCCTCTACAGTTCACAAACACTGAACAAGTGGCCCCTGCCGAAGTTTTAAAGGGAAGAATTGTCAGCTGCTTGGCCCTGCTTCGCTGTAGATTCCCCATTCGAGTAGTGACCGACGAAAGCTACATTACATAGAAAAAACGCGCCTTGTGGAAAGCCACGCAGGAGACTTAGCGCAATGCAGTTCCATATACATAATGCAATCTTCCATCAACACTGCAGGATAAGAACAAAATAGATTTGTTTCAGCCAACTCACTTTTGTGACCCTCACACCCTCCAATTTCAGCCCCTAGTAGCGTCCTTACCCCTAGCAGTAAGGCCAAGAACTTCTAGTAGTTTCTTGTTACTAGTAGTAAGGCTAGGAGCCCCTAGTAGGCGGTCCTTGCTCATGTTTTTCGACGCGCAGACTTTTGCGGCGCAAATGCGGCGTAGATGTTGCAGCGCCAAAGCGGCACGTGGCTCTGCAAGTGAGATGTGAGAGTCCCTTCGGATCCACAGCCGCCGTCACTCTATTTGTTGCAGCATGCCAAGCTCAATCCCAATTCGTTGGGGCAGCAATCTCCAGCCAATCCTGCAAGATCTGTTTAGTGACTTGACCTGAAACCTTCCTCTCTTCAAAGATTCATTCGCACTCAACACATCAGCCACAGCGGCATTGGCAAGGCTCTCCTGAACACTTTGGATGCCGACTGCACGAGGACTGAGACTTTTCAGGCGAAGGGGTTGTTGACTGCTGATACTGCTGCTGTTGCTGCTGCTGTTGCTCCTCAGGAAATCGCTGTGAGCGCCGCTTCGTTTGAGAGCTCACACGAAAGACATTTCCTCCGTGTGTTGAATCGTTTTATATATTTATTGCTTGTTCATTCTATCTCAAGTTGAGCACTGTCTGCTTTCAGCTCCTGCCACCTGTGCAGATCGTCGCTTTGGGACCACTGCTGGTCGGGTGGAAAAAGATTAGGGTCTCGCTGGCAACCTCCGTATGTTCCTCTTCAGCTCAGGCATACTTTGACATGCGCTAGAAAATGTCTGAGTTTGCAACTGTGATTTCCAAGGTAGATAGATAGATAGATAGATATGCTTGGAAGACGAAAGTTGTTCTTTTTTGTTGTCATTCTGCCATAGAGGCAATTGGCATGACTCCATGACAGGTTAATTTTGAGTTGCAGGTCACTGACCTTGTAGAGCACCACGGCGCGGCTGTGTCTGATCCAGAAAAAGACAGCCCATCGAGACCTCTTTCTATCCATCCATCAATCTATATATCTATCTATATCCATCTATCTATCTATCTGTCTATCTATCTATCCATCTATCTATCCACCTGTCGATCTGTCTATAGTCAGTGTTCATCCACTCGATGGAAGTACCATCCATGGAGATCAATCTCCTAAGGAGAGGGCTCAACTGATCCGTGGATTGCAGGCGCGCGCGTTATCCAGGCCATTCATCCGGGAGAACTCAACTAATCTGCAGGCATCTTTGAGCTTGACGAAGGACTTGTTCCATCGCTCCTGAAAGAGACTGCGCCGTGGCTGAAGGTGGAGTCTTTGCAAAACATCTTCAGTGTGCCGGTGAGTCACATGTTGAGGTGAACGACCAACACGTCGAATATCAGCGCGGGCGCCTGCCAGGACGGAGACAGAAATAACATTGTTGGCTATGCTCTCATCTTGCGCAGCGTCCCATCGTCTGCCGACTTGCCTCTGGATAGCCTGACGTGTCAGCTCCGTGTTGGACACGCAGCCGATGAAAAGGTTGGAGAAGCATCCCATTGTATTCGATCCTCAGCTCACTAGGGTGGGCCTGTGCAGTGAGCTGAAATCTCGCCAGAACATCACGCACCCGCCGGTTCAAAAGCCACCTCAGCAAAACTGGCGCAGTGGTCTTCCAACTGGAGAAGATACTCAACATACCAGCGTTGGAAATGAGCCTGTGATCGTAGTGCCTCCTGCGAAGCCATTGCTATATATAGCACAACCAAATGGTGGCGTCATGAGTGTAGTGTCGGGCCAAAACTCCCATGGTCCATCCTGCAGATCAGCCCAGCCGTACCGACTCCACGAAGCTGATGCCTCTAATCCATGGAATGAGATAGATGAGGTGCCCGCGTGGCTTCCTGATCAATGAAGTTGAAGACCGTGAGCGTTCGCTGCCCGGTTCCCGGAACAGACGGTTAATACCCTCCTCAAGGAAATCAGCCCATGTTTGTGAGGCCTCCCAGTTTGCCAAAACCGCAGTCTCTATCAAAATCTCAGATACATCAAGTGAAGAAAAACTATCGGTTTATCTGATTGGTCTGGTTCCCTTTGAGGCCGAAACAGCTCAACTTCTCAGCTCTCTCCACAGGTTCTTCACACGATCTCTTCATCCACCCGAATCTCTACATCAATCCTCTGCCATCCTAGAGTACTTTCTGGACAGTACCGTCCAGTCGTGGGTGCTTGGCTGCTCTTCCAAAGGGGCACATTGGATCTCTTTTGCGCTGCTCGTCCACATCCATCTTCAAAGCCCCTCGAGCTGTAGTCTTCACCGGTTCGACAGGCGCTCGAGCGCTGGCAGCTACCTTGCGGATCTCCTCTCTGCCTTTGGTCAGCTCGGCGTTCTTCACCTCCAGAACTTGTAGTTGGACTTCTCGTGTATCCCTGGAAATCATGAAGGGAGACAAGCATGGGAGACAAGGCGGCAGCGGCAGCCAAGAGCGAAATCATGAAGGGAGAAGCTTGGGAGACAAGGCGGCAGCGGCAGCCAAGAGCGACAACATGAAGGGAGACAAACTTGGGAGACAAGGCGGCAGCGGGAGACAAGGCGGCAGCGGCGCCACAAGCGAAATCATGAAGGGAGAAGCTTGGGAGACAAGGCGGCAGCGGCGCCACAAGCGAAATCATGAAGGGAGAAGCTTGGGAGACAAGGCGGCAGCGGCAGCCAAGAGCGACAACATGAAACGAGACAAGCTTGGAAGACAAGCCGGCAGAGGCAGCCAAGAGCGAAATCATGAAGGGAGACAAGCTTGGGAGACAAGGCGGCAGCGGCAGCCAATTTCCGCAATCCGGAACCCTTCCATTGAGAAGTAAGAACCCTTATAGCTTCCAGCTATCTGGGGAAAAAGATAAGATCAGATACGAGATAGGATAAGGTAAGATTAAATCAGATTAGGTTTGAATCGATTTGATCTGGTCCGACGAAATCACATCACATTAGATTAGACAGGTAGAGGTGGAAGGATCCATTCTTCGTAGCGGTCCTTGACCCGCAAGATAAATGAAACCAGGGATGCAAAGACACCTCAATAACTGAAGCTCAATCTCGAAGGGTTGTAGGAATCGTGATGTGTAAGGGCCTAGTGTTTCTGAGGCGCTTGGAATCTGAGCAAACTGTGAATTTGCCACTGCACTCATTGAAGTAGCCTCACATCTCACGTTCAGCTCTCTGAGAAAAATACAAGCCAACATGAAGTGCATAAAATGCAGAGACACCGTTTGTTGGAATTCTGAACCACGCTTGCAAGGTACCAATGTGAGCATTTGCGCACGGTATCGCGCGACAATAGTCTACACCAAGTATCAGGTGGCTCCAGTGTCTTGCGGCAGCACGACCTGAAAGAACAAACAAAGAAACAGGACTAGAGAAAATAAGCAAAAACATTAGTAAATGGACAAGAAACATGTCTTTCCTGCCAAACCAATCACGGTTGGTTCAGTTTGTATTCACAAAATTTCAAGGGTTGCACCAAAAGGCCAAAAGGTGTCTGCGCTTCTTGCGCGACTGCAAAGTTGCCTTTTGAGAAACAGGACCGTTGTTTTGACTTTTCCAGGAAACAAATCAAACCGCCCAGCTCAAACACCCGCACGGCGCCGCCCAAGTCGCCTCTCTTCCTTCTGGGGTATAACGATGCACGCATTGTTTGACGCGCTCGCTGTACACAAAGTCCATCTGACCAGAGTCGATGAACAGGTGAGCTTTCGAAACGTGATGCGTTTTGTGTGCTTTTCTATCACAGCACGCAACCCGGCACGTTGATTGCGTTCCCGGCCTGGCAAACGCACCGAAAGTGGTAACACTCCGTTGGCCCAAGGCGTTGCTCGCAATTCGACCACATACAAATGTTGCCTGCAGCGCAACCAACACACCATTGCAAGGTGAGCAAGACGAACCACAAAGGGCGACATGACCAAAGAGTGGATTCTTAGGAAAGCGAAGCGGATTCAGGAGCCGTTTTGAATCGGAATCATGGTGTGGGACGTATTGATCGGTTTTATGCCAGAGCCCAAGTCAGAATTTATCGTCTGTGACTCGCGACTGTTCAACGCTAACCAAGCGAGGTCTCATAGACTGTTCTCAATGATCACCACCAATCTAAAGAGCGCGCTGCCCCGACCAGCTTGACCAACCACTCGCCGCGCGCCGGTCTGATGTAAAGCTCGCGCCTTTCCAAACACCACAACCATTGAGCTGGCTTCCTTCCAGCGAAACTTCTTAAACATACAGCGCGCCGCTTGATCGTTCTGATCACACAACGTTGGCTGTTCCTGCTGCCGCTTTGTCTGAAAACTTCAACGAGCGCAACACCAAATTGGTTCAGGTTCGCCGCCCTGCCTTCTCAACAAGAGTGTCTAAATCACGTCATTCCACTCCTAGAGGACACCCTTCAGTTTCGTGGGTTTACTCGACTTCTCCATTCATGATTGTCCTTGACAAAATGTCATCTCAACTTTTCATCCCTTTTTTTTGACTTTTCGTCTTTGTCTTGCCACAGCCTTTGTTGCAATCTTTCTGTCCTTTGGATTGTTCTTCCTAACTCCCTTCCTCTTCTTCTCTGAGGCTTGTTGTCCATCAACTTCAACTTCACCAATGACTGGCGACCCCAGTGCCTCATAGCGCATACTGATCCAACTATCCGGCCAACGTGACTCCTTCGGTTGGCAATTTTGATCTTCACGCCCTCCTCTCATCGGGCCCCAACCATCGGAGATAAAATTGCAAATTGTCCTCCTTGCCGTTGACTTGGCACACCAATGCCATCTTGCAGTGACTCATCGTCTGGAGCTTGTCTCTGCTCCACTATGTTGTCCTCAAGCTCTTTCCTTCTGACGCTCAAAGCTGTACTTGTCATAGGCCCAATTACTGTCAAGGTCGGCATCTTCCTCTGTCTTTGGCTCTGCGCGATGACCCCTCCCTCCCTCCCTCCCTCCCTCTGTCAGTCTTCCAAAACTTACACTTATGTCTTCTCTTCTGCAGCATCCATCTTTCCTTCTTCTTTTCAACCTGCAGCTTTTCACCTTTTCGGGGTATGTTTTCTGAGCAAAAACCTCGGGCACGGCGGAGCCTCAATTTCCAGAAGGATTATAAGCCGGTCAGGTGCGGCAAATGAACTGCGCCTTGAAAAAGCCGTCGGAAGAGTATAGCCGCATAGCCAAATGGCCACACGCGTTTGCCAAATTGCTTTTCAAGGGCCCTTTACACGCAACCGTCCGCTAAGCGCTTTGAATGCGATCGATAATGTTTCGCGCGAGGCTCGGTCGCCTTGCCGTTTTGAGTGCCGCTGTGCCACGTCAGGCCCGAAAGTGCCGAAATCGCGTGGCGCGGTGCAAATTTGGCGGTGGGCGCGGCGCGCTTGGAAGTTGAACTCTTGAAACAGGCGCAGGGAATCGTGAGGCCGGGACGTTTGGCGGTGGTGAACGTCGCTGCACTGTTGGGATTGGCACATCGGCGGGCGCGCTTGTTAGGAGGGCTGCTTGATTCGTCTTTCTGATCAGACTTCCCACTTTGGGGGACGTCCTCGATTTGACTCGTGGAGGATGCCTTGCGGGAAGTTTTGAACTTTGGAGACTTGACGCATGAACTTTGTTTGGAGACTTGGCGCCTGACTTTCGAGGAAGTCTTGTCCGAATCCCTCGCTTTGAAGACTCGACACATGACTTCCGAAGGAAATCTCATGTCCTTGATGTCGCTGTGCCACGTGGTTTGGCACGGCCTCGGTGGCCCCGCCGTGCCAAATGACACGCGTGCGCAAACGCGGCGCGGCGCTGGTGAGCGGGACGGTTTGCGGTCGGGTGTCCCACACGACTGCACCACAATAGCACCCCGCAACAGTGTCCCATAAGTGTGAAACAATTCGCACGCGCGCATTCGGGTTCGCGGGCATCATCTTCCTTCATTTTTCGGCCCGGGGTCGGCCATTTGCTCTGAGGCGGGAGCGGCTGTCCAAGAAACAAAACAAAAACGTAATCAATCGTAAAGGTGCACGTTGCTCGTCTCCTACAGGGGGGTTCTGTGGCCTGATGAAATAGCGCTTGTCTTCAAATTCAAACAAAATTCGCTCAATTCTTGGCAGCGCTGTAAATGGCTATGTTTTCCGATTGCTTTTCAAACCTTTCGTGACTGCAGTGAGAGCACAATCAGAATCACTTTAAAAATACCTTCGACATGCAAAGACATTGGTTCTCGAACGACACTTACGCAGATATTAATATACATATTATTCAGCATGCGTTGTTTTACTGCGGATCCTTTTCTGGTCTGGAAATGGCGGCCTTCAAGGTACGCTTCTCGATTTGTGTGCGTCACCTATGGTGATCTACACCTGCACATGACTGAGCGCTTTCTACCTCCATTCGCACTCCTCCTTCATCTCTGGAGTATCAACTCTTGAGATGACCTCAACTCGTGAAGTTAAAGCACTCTTCCATTTGAGGATACAACTTGCGTTCTATTTCCCAGTCTTCCTTCCGGGCATAATGGAACCAGCCTGCCTCGATCCGGCTGAGCTCATTTCTGGCTTTCAGCTCGGCTCGATTGAATTCTTGTTCATGAAATTAAAATCGCTGTCAGAAATTTCGATCGGCTCTGGGTTCCATTCCGCTCCACGCGGTGGTGTTGCACCTTCTCTCATGTTCTCCATGGCTGTTGTCCAACTCTTGCTTAGACACCTTTGGACACCATTTTCAACAGAAGGAATCATTTCTTGGTTAACGACGTCGCTCGTAGAAACGACGCTGTAGGAGCTACAATACGCATCATTACGTAGTTTTACGCAGCAATTTCGCAAGTCATACGCATCATTTTTCGCAAAGGACATCATACGGCTTGCTTTGTAGAAACGGCGTCCAAAGCACATCATTGGAGCGTCTAGGTGGTCCATTGCCTGCGTGCTCAGAAAGATCAAGGGCAATGGCCTGAGAGAGTAGCTCCCACTGGCTGGGCTGTAGACGTCGTCCCTCTTGTCATTGGCAAACTCCCTGGCGACCAAACGTGATCGTCTCAACCACTTCTTCTCCTTGGCCCCATCGCCATTGACCTTGGTCTTGATGAGCCAGTCTCTGACAAACTTGGTTGTGAGCTTGTCCAAAAAGATATCTTCCATCTCCAAGTCCGCCCCCATTCTCTTCAACCTCTGCTCTTCCACCTTGTCCGCAAGCTCTTCAATCGTCGGTGGTGGCTGAGGTGGTGTCCTGCTTAGGGGTTCCTCACTCCACAAGGCGTCAGGGATGACTCCAGGCTTCAAACCTTCGATCTTCCTCTCCCTCTTCTATTGCCAGAGTTTCAACGTTTCAACGTCCACGACCTCGTCCAAGTGGTACATCTTGTCCCCTTCCAGGTTCACCTCCTCAACTCTCCTCTCCACCAGCTCCATCCGTGTAGCGCTCGAAGACGATGTTGCACCTTCCACCTCAATCCTTTGTTTCTTGACTCCTTCCATTCGAGGCTTCTTAGCTTCTGGCTCAATCTTGACTGCCGAAAGTGGTGGCAGCGTTTTTCTCAAAGTTCTCTCTTCTTGAGTCCCCTGTTCATCGTCCCATGGTAGTGGATGAACGAACAAGAACTGGAGTTGTTGGCAATCCAGCACTTTGCTCCTCCACTTGTGGGGCTCTTGGGGCTGGTGCCCGACCTTCAGCTGCCAAGGCACCCGAAACTTCCTCCTCTGGTACGCCAAGCATCAATTGAGCTTCTTGGATCTCACGTCGCTGCTCCTCTTGGCCCTCCTTTGATCGTGCGTAGTCGTAGATTGTTGGGTTTCCAGGCAGGCTCTTCCTCCTCACGTTCAATGGGATCGGGCCAACTTCTCGTTTCGACGGCGCAATGCGTCCACCGAAACTCACCTGAAACTCTCAACTATGCGCAGTGAAGTCCCTGAAATAGGTCACGCTTGGGCCATGGTCTGTCAATGCGTCTCACTGACCTTGTCCACAGCGCATTCGACCCTTCTCCCACGACGCAAGCATCCTGCCCCTCCGTCTTGCCCAGAAAGATTGCCATCCGCCACTTGGGGTTGCCCTTTCCTGTAAGAGGCTTCACGTAGGCATACACTGGACAACCAAATGGGACCAGGCGACTCATAGAATTTGGCCTGCGTCAACTCGAAGCTCATGCCACACGCTGCTGCCCAGCTCCACAAGGCAAGGTTGCTGTTGAACCTCAATCCAACCTTCTTCATCAACGACTCCATGCATGAGGGACCAGCCAGTCCTCGAATACGCTGGATGGCATTCTCTGCCAAAGAATTTCCTGCAGAATCCTTCGCCCAGGTCGTGTAGATCCTCGCACCAAGTGCGTGGCGGGAGTTCAACAGATACGTAGCAGCGCCCTCATTGTAGGCTCATTGTCTGCATAGAGTCCAACCTCTGTATGGCCCAGGTGCTGTATGAAGGTCATAGTCTCCCGACGCACGAGGCTTAACTGCCCCTTTGAGAGCAGGGGGACGGCACATAATGATCCAGTTTGGCTGCGTGACAGGACCAACCATAGAGCCGTCATCTCAGCTCCTCCACATCGGTCTTCTCCCTGCTGCTCACCCTGCTCTTGTTGCAGGTCAACAACTTCTTGTCCATCTTCGTCCACGGCCACTGGCATAGGTCGATCCATCTCACCAGCCTTTGCGTAACAGAAACTCATGCTGATGAATTGGAACGCCAGAGAGTCGCGCTGCCCCTGTGCACAAATGACGGTCTGGCCGGCCACGATGCATCAAACATGTCTCGCACCAGGGTTGATATGGAGTGTGCGTCACTCACGCAGAAACTGCTCAGCTTCTGAAGGCACCTTCACCAGCGGCTGAAGCCTTGGCTGCCTAGCCACCTCCATCTGATGCTCGCGCTTTCAACTCCAGCTCCTTGATGTGGCTGACCAACCGTTGATAGCGCTTCAACTTGCTCCCTGAAGCGCGGATGCCATAGAAGCTGCACGCGGCCCTCAACTCCTTCAATCTGGCTTCTGGTGTCAGTTCAATGCCATTCACCAGCAAGCTGCCAGGCATGGCTCCTCCTGCCACCAGACGCCTTCCATTCTCAGACACCTCTGCCAGCCCCCACTGGCAGCTCCACATCTCTCCTTTCCACTGCTTGGGCCGCTAAGTCCATTCCGGCGTCGACCTCAAATCCCATCTTCTTAGTGGTGAGGGTGTCCTTTGTCAGGATGGTCATTATCAAAATGTTCTCACCCTTGCTTGGACTTGCCTTGCCCTTGTCAGCAACGCGGTCGATCTCCATGAGGGCAAGGCCATCAGGATCTTGTCCAAGGACCATGGAAATGGACCACTTGGTGGTAGCATGGTTGTACTGGACGATTGCCTCCCTCAACCGACTGTAGCTCTGGGTCTCCGCCACCTGCGATTGAAGCCAGGTTTTCAGTTGGCCACGGACACAACGCATGAGGGTGGCGAACTTGATGGTCTCGTCCAGTCGAGCTCCTGTTTTCTCGTATTCAGCATAGGCCTCCTCGAGCTTGAGCAACTGATTCAAAATGCTGCCCTTTCTCATGTCTCGCTGGCCCCATTAATTCTAATATCATCGTCAACAGCCCTAAGGACGCTTCTTGCTGGTTGGCTCAAGACTCTGGACCAGCAATCGATAGGCCTCTATGCCGTTTGATTCCATCACCTGTTTGCTCACCGAGAGAGGCCTGTAGCGCAGAAGTGGTGCGAGGAAGGCATACAGGAAGCTGCTTCGATGTCGCTCTTCATCACTTTGAAGATCCACTGCAATCTCCCTTTCTGGATTGGCTCTGATCTTCTTGACGTCGTCGATGTGGCTGGCGCCCAGGGATGAAAGGTATTGCTCTAAGCTCCATGAGAAGTCCATTCATTGGGAGATCTCCTCCTCCCTGGACTTGGGGTCAAAGTTGGGAGGTTTTGGGAGGATACGGAACCAATTCCGATCTTCAGGCTTCTTTGAGACTGCATCAACTGCAGCCCTGGCAGCTGCTCCAGCCGCTTTGACTGCTTGCACCATGCGCCTCGCAATCTCAGCCCCGTCCACGGCTCCACCTCCAATGCTCCCAGTGCGTGATCCACCGACTGGTGAACCTTCTAAGCCAGCCATCCTGCTTGAGCTCACCCTTGATGGCCTCCAAAGCGATGAACTTCAAATCGATGTATGGATCACGGGCAAAGCAAAGGGACAAACGTGTAGCTCAAAAAGAACACTTGCGCTGATTGCGAGCTCTGCTGGATCTCCGTCCAACACTAGCCAGGAACCTATGGCACCGGTGCGGGCGAGCGGACCGATCCCTGGAGCCTCTCCTCAGAGCCAAGCAATGAGGTTCACCAGCTCCGCTACCATGCGGATCCTTTTCTGATCTGGAAATGACGGCCTTCAGATTACGCTTCTCGATTTGTGTGTGTGTGTCACTTATGGTGATCTATACCTGCACATGGCTGAGTGCTTTCTACCTCCATTCGCATTTACACTGTTTTACACTTGCGGCCCTAGCTCACGCCGCTTCGCCGCAGTCAGATAACAAGAAGAGACAGATTCGAATGTCTGGCCCGATCAAGAAAAAAAAATGTCAAAATCGAAATCCTTCTCTCAGCCTGTCTCTCGAGCACCTTGCCACGTTGAGCTTTCGTTGAGCTCCTGTCTCACTGTTTCTATGCAAGCTGATCTGACTGACTGCCTACGTACACTTTCTTGATCGTGTCCATCGAGTCCTGCACTGCCCTGTCCTTCCTCTGAAGCAAATTCAAACCTAGCAAATTGGGCCCAAGAGACACTATCTTCACAATGTCTTGCGCGTATCAAATCTCAGCCACGCGCCTCCGCCGTCATCATCAAAAACCACCTGCAAACTCACAAATTTCAGCGTCGAACCATTTGCTGGAAGCTTTGATCAATTTTTGGAATCCAAGCCCAAAACATTCCAAAAATAAGAAAAATCGGCGCGTGGAAAAAACATCCCAAACATGTATCTATGCGTGTGTCTACATTGACCACTGAAATCACCCCAAGAAATGCCATGCGTGGAATGTTTGGGATGGCAATAGAGTTTTTCCACCGACGATAGTTTCTTGACATTTGGCAACGTTGCAACATGAAGGTGGCCAGGCAGGATTAGGACCTCCTAGAGGAAAACAAGTGAAAACAAAAAACAGTGCCGCTGAAAAAACATTGGGCGTCACTCGGCGATGTTCGTGATTGTATAGCATCCTCCAGACCTCCTCCAGATCGTGCGCCCATGATGCTGCAAGGAGAGCAAGCACAGCCCTCATCCTCACAGTTTGGTCGACCGACTCCGGCAAAAGAAATAGTAAAAAGGGTATAGAGAGTTGCGATTTTGGAAAAGAAAACACAAGTCCACTTTGTTCGCACAAAAGGAACTCGCCAAATTCCATCACCTCTCAAAAGCCTCCTAAACCAAGGTGTTCCCCGCTTGATTATCACGTGTGGTTTATTCTCCTTCTCGACTTCTTCGAAGGCTTCTTCGAGCCTCCTTTGAGCCAGAACTGATCCCGTCGGCCGCTGAGATGGTGAACATTTTGCCCTTTCTGCGCTTGATGCTTTGGCCGAAGACGACGGGAGAAACACGCTAAACAGAATTGTTCGTTACTTCACCAAAAAATTCAATAACCTTCACCGGAGAGGTTTTGGAATGCATGAGAAAATATGAGAAATATGCAAAAATATGCAAAAAATGCATAAACATAATTTCACATGCAAACTGGAGCGTGATATGACTGCTGCGGTCAGTTGTGTTCAGCTGTTAGGATAACTTCTCCCCAAGAAACACAATTTGATTAACCATGTTGTGTTTGAGGTGTTTTCCCAAAAAATAGTAATTTTTTTAAACCAAAAAATAAAATGAAAACATGTGAAAAAATGTTTTAAAATGTGAAAATATGATTAAAAATGTGGAAAAATTGATAAACACATGTGAAAAATGCAAAATACATAAAATTTCATGCGACCCTGCTCTGATCTAATCCTTCTCTGATCTAGGTGATTGAATTTTTCTGGTGAACTGTGGTTTTCACTAAAGAAACCTTATTGATGGGACCCAAACACCTGCTGTGTTTCCTTTTGCGGTCACTGATGGACACCGGCCCATTCGGTTTCTTGAACATTTATCGCAACTTAAGTAGGACAACATGAGAGTCGATCTTGAAGCCTTTACGCGTCAACGTATGTTCGATGAATGAATGCAAGCACGGGCAGATATTGCACCAACAATGATAACATAAAGAGTCTGAACAGCTCACGTTGGGTGAGCGACAAACCCGCTGCGAAAAATGCGAGAAGTTTCTCCCTCGCCACACAAGGCGCGCACAGAACAGTTCCACCCCGCGGGCCACCCCACAAACCAAGGTTTTCGGTCGCACTACGCAAACATTGCGCGATAATCAAGTCTCGGGCTATATATTTGCGTTTCCATGCTGACGCGTCAGCATGTTCGGTCAAAACAACACACAAAGTGTGACGTCTAGAAGTTTGGAGTTGCGAAGCCACCAAATGAAGCTATACATTTCAAGCGAAGCCAGAAACCATGTTAAACTAAAACAAACATCGAGAAGAGAATTGCGAACAACGAAAAAAAATATACCAGCGTAGACCCCAAACAGTTTGTCCACAGAGACGAATTGTCAAACAGTCAAACGGCTCAAACCGTTCCAGCTCGCAATGATAATGTATCCAGAGTAGTCTGAGGCCAGTGGAGACAAGTGTAACAAGAAGGGAGACAAGGAAGGAGACCCGTGGGACGCATAAAACCATTTGGCCAAGAGTGTTTAAGCATGGAGCAGGCAAAGAGGCAAGCGGAGACAAATGTAAAACCACGCGGCCCAGGCACGCAACCCTCTCAAAGGAGTAAGAACCCCTCACAGGTTTACCTGTTTGGGGAACATGGGGTCATAGCATTCAGAGCGCAGTGGAGACAAGAGGAAAAAGTGGGAGACAAGTGTAGAATCACGTGGCCAGAGCAACAGAGTGTACTGGAGACAAGGTAGAAAAGGGAGACAAGCGGGAGACAAGTGTAAAATCACGCGGCCAGAGCAGCAGAGTGTACTGGAGACAAGGAAGCAAAGGAAGACAAGCGGGAGACAAGTGTAAAATCACGCAGCCCAGAGCACCGAGTGTACCCGGAGACAAGAGACAAGTGTAGTGGGAGACAACTGTAACATCATGCGGTCAAAGCAATCGCGGTGCGGAAGGATCGCAAACCCTGAGAAATGTAAAGTCATGCGGCCCGGGCGCGCAACCCTTTCAAAGGAGTAAGAACCCCTGACAGGTAAACCTGTTTGGTGACAAAACAACCCGCTTCATTAATTTGTGGCTGATCAATGATGTTTCATGTTGGAATTGCCATTAGTCGAAAAAAGGCCTCATCACGAAGCAGTGTCCTAAATCCATGTCTAGTTACATAACGTGAGCTGGAACTATACGTTTGTATCACAAAACAGGGACTGACATCTCGCAGCGTGACCTCAGCACAAAATTAAGAGTTGCACAGATACTCAGGGTTTGCAGCGCGCGCGACATCTGTGCGACAAACAATATCCTAAGTCCTGGGTGAGGCGAATAGAGTCAAGCAAAACTCAACCCAATCCTCGCGCCAGCTACCAATACAGGGCAACGCCTCGTTAGCGAAACTTTCGCGACCTTTCGCGAAAAACTGACACTTTCGCGAATCTTTCGCGGATGGTTTCAAACACATCTGAAAGGCTGCTTTGTACAAAACGCCTTACACAGGGTTTTTTGATCAACTCCCAATTCAAAGCAAAACAAAGACGCGCGTTCAGAAATACTGGGCGTTCAGAATCCGCACTTTTCTTGCGCGACCCGGACCTGTCTGAGCTCCCATCTTAGGAGCTCCAGAAGTTTCGTTTGCAGAATCAAGGATTATACTCAGGTTTGATGAGTCCCAAGAATGCATCCATGAGTTGCATTGGAAACGATACCATCATCAGCTGAAATGGCTGAGAATCTGAAGTCGTGAAGAGTTGCGTACTTGCGCAAAAACTAAACTGCGTCGCATGTGTCCCCATCGCAATTCGGCAAGTGAACCAGGTCACTGCCTTAGGCGTTCACCACGCCACTTCTTTTTCTATATGGGTTTTCTTCAATGTCATCGAGTTCGTCTTCTTCACAGCGATGTTCTGAGGCCACGGGCTTAACTTCCAAAGCTGCCCGGTGGCTCGTTCATCCAAGATGACCTGTCCAACATCAAATACAAAAACAAAAGGGAGATAAGTGACAAGCGCTGGACTTCACAAGGCTAAGGGCGTATCGTTTTCCTTTTTTTTGCGGGGCTGGCACACCGGCCCTTGTGAGCGAGACGCTTGTTTGGTTGGCCATGGGGTCGTCGTCGGGACTATACAGCCGTTTGAAATTGCGAATGACCACAAGTGCAGGACCTCAGCGCCGTACAGGGAGTGTTTTGTAAAAGTGCAATATCAACGTCCCTCAGACTTTGTTTGCTGTGACTGCTGCTCAAGTAGCTGCCCCTCCTCGCGTTTCGCAAGGCGCTTCGCCATTGCATGTGAAATCAGAAGAGTGTCTCCGGCGCCCAACCAACGCAGGCTTACTGCAAAGCCACATCAGGGCCCATGCTCTGCGCCCTCCCATTCCGGGCCTCCTGCTTTGCAAAACTCGACCCGCTCATACAAAAAGGCGCTTTGAAGAATCAAGCTCAGACTTCGACCCAGCTGCCCAACACTGGATTGCGGGACCCAGGACTGAGGCTGCAGACAGGATTGAGCTGCGACTTCTTGCACGTCGCGCTCCAATGTTCCAGCGACCCCGCCACTGAACGCGACTGACAACAGCTGGCCTCGCAGAGTCTCTGGCGTAGCTCCGCACTCGTTCGAAGATCTCAAAGCACAGGGCGCTCCATTCATGCCAAGAAGAGCTTGGAGTCAAGCAGCACATGTCTGAAGACACACCAGACCAGAAATCTAATGGAAAGCTCTACACGAGGGAACCAAGAAGTCTTAAATGAAGCGTGGTCGCTGATAATGTTCTCCAAACTCGAACCAGCTGCGCCTGAGACAAGCAGACAGGACACGGCACCCCTCATAGTCGAAGCAACTCGCGTGGAGTTTTGACGACGACCCATCTTCGGCCTCCTGATCTTGAAGGAAGCACAGTCGGGAAGTGCGATCGTGAAGCCTAGAAGACAAGTGCGAACAAAACCAAGGCCTCCAACACACCCTTGACGGGGGGAACTGACGACGCCACGGCAGAAGAGCGGTGTGGTGTAGTAGCCCCGGGAGTTTTAGAAAGATGTGAAGATCATCAAACTCGATGGAAGGCTGCTCAGCGCCATTGCCTCCGGCCAGTCGCTCAATATCGCGGCTCGTCTTGCAGGGCCGCGGAGGCACCTGCAGCCAGCGCTTATAGACCAGGCAAACACGGCGCCCGCGCCACGCAGAAGCGACAGCAGCGCGCGGCCAGGCAGCCGAGCAGAGTCAGCAGCGCAGCTCGCGCAGGAGCCACGCCCCCACTGCAAAGGAAGCCCAGGCCACGTCCACTGCAGCCCGCGCAGCAGCTCTGCGGCAAAGCCAAAGGATTAGTTTGCTTGACAGTCCCGGAAACGTAGCTACTAGGTAAAGTGAGCTATGAAGGGCCAGGGCGCCACTGGTTCCTGGATGCAGGATAGCCCACGATCCTATTCATGTGGTTCCTAGACTTGAAGAGAAAGGGCAGGGGCCCACACTTGAAGCTCCTCGGCGCCGCGCCAAACGCAAATTTGACAAGTGGCCCAGCAGGATGGAGTTAGTTTTGTGGCGCGCGGCCACAACAAGCTGGCCGGTTGCGTTGAGGCAGGGTGACAAGGGTGGCTGACGGGGGCTAAAACAAAGCAAACTTGGTTTTGGCCAGCAAGCTGGCTCCACAAGGTTTTGTGGCTCTAAAGCTTGCAGCTAGCTTTGCTCTGTAGTTTTGCGGCGCCAGCAAAGAGGCTATAGGCGCTGGGGTCGCCAATGCAAAAAGAGCAGTGGCCATGGCTTGCGTGACTGCGCGATTCCATGCCCGACGCTGATGCTGGCGCGCTGCACCGGCCACTGGCTGGCTAACAGACTATTTCGTTACAGGCCGTTTGCACCGTTGGTTCAGCGTCGAGTCAAAGAATTCCGTCGAGTCACAGGTGGTAGCCATGCGTCAGGCACTCGACCACAAAAGGCCTCAAGGCGAGTCACTCGAGGCGCATAGGCTTCCGTGACCCTTTACAAGCTGTTTGTTTGCGCAGTTCGCTTCTTGTTTGAACGCGCTTCTTTTTGTAAGCCCTTGGGGCGATGGCAAAAATTGCTCGTTGATTGGTCCGAAACTGAAACTAGGCTTGCAGCAGGGGCTCTGCCGCATTTTGTAAAGGATGTCTCCTAAGACAAGCTGAATGAACTCAGAACTCGCAACACAATGTCTAACTCTGGTCGCAGATCAACATGGTTTTGAAAGAGTTCTCGTTTCTTGTGGGCTCGCTTGCGCTTCTCTCTCATGGAGGGCCATGTCTTTGGGGCCGGGCTGTATCGTCAAATAAACCTCCACCGTGTCTCTCTAAGGCTTTCAAACTTGCCACATGGAGCACTCCTGCAAATCGGAGGCAGACCAGCTGAGCAAGCTCGGCCAAATCTACTACCCAGAAGTTGAGCGCTAAGAAGCAAAGGAAAGAAACTGCAAAAATGTTGATTCACACACCCATAAGCGGTTTGAATGCAATTTCAAGACACGATCCACCGATGTGCTCAATTGTCCAAACAAAACAAGCTAGAAATTGAAGTGATGTCACTGGTTTTTGCAACACAGACCAAGAAAATCCGACAGAAAAGAGACGCAGCCACCTTTGGCTCCATGCTCCACAGAACGCATGGTCATCTGCCAAGAAGCGGCTGAGTCTTCGACGCAGCGAACGTGTGATGCGCGGAATGTGTGGTCGCATAATGGCTTCAATGGTTTGTGCTCCACGGCTGTAAATAAAGGTCAGCAAGGCCTTCCGCAACCAGTCACCAACAAAGCCGAAGACTTTGCCTGCCAAAATGCAACCTTCTTGCAACCAATGAAATCTTGAATCGAACAAGTTCTGCAACCCCTGCTGCCTGCAATCCAAACGGGTGGGAAGTACGACAAAGAGGACCGCTCCTAGTTGCGCTTCAAACTCAACCTAGTTCTACGCAGGCCAATTTTTCGAGAAGACACCTGATTTTTTCACAACTACCACCTCGTACGCTGTTCTTCCTTCGTCGAAGTAAATCTGGGACATCATCGTCATCGTCATCACCGTCGTCACCATCGAGTTCCGTGACGTCGCAAGGATATTCACCAAACAGCGTCACTCATGTTGCGTCGCGCTTGGCAAATTCCCGCGCTACGAGCCGTTTGGAACAATTGCGCGCACACAGACACACACACACACACGATCGTGAAACAAGCGCGATCGTTGCACTAGCGCAAGCAGAAACAACATAGCTAACACTAGCACAGGAACAGTAACGTTGTGAGCAGTAAGAGCAGCACTGCACAGGCAACGCAACTAGCAGTAATAGCATAAGTAAGTAAGCGTCGCCCGGTAACAGCTCTTTAGGGCAAAATCGATACTATAGGGAGGTAGGCAACAGTAGCGCAGCAAAATGTAACTCAGTGACAGCAACAAGTCACAGGAGCACAGTGACAGGACTTTTCCTTCATTGGTTATACGGGCGTCAAACAAAAAAAGTTAAACGGTCTCTCGTGAACCGTTGGGCGACGGAAGTTGCACTTTCACACTGCTTCCGCTTTCCTCTGTCTTAGTGAGAGATCCAGCATGCTTCGCCGAAAGGGGAATTTCAAATGCCCGCGGCGGATCGTCTCCCACCACGCGTCGGCCTTGAGCCGCTTGGTCAAAGGATCTGCTGCTGCTGACTGGTGGAGTGGAGCGGGCCGATCATCCCGCTGCACTTGACCGCCAACTGCCGGAGCCTTTACGATCACGTCTATCGCGCAAGGTTCCGCTGGACGCCAAGCACCAGTCGCGCCAGAACCTTGGTTAGGGACTGCGACTTTTGTGAGGGGTGGAAAGGGAGGCGTCACCAGTGGAGCGCGTCGAGGATCCGCACAGTTTTGGGCGACGTGCCCATTCCCGCGAAGAAGCACGGGCACAGTTTGAGAACGGTTTTCCTCCTCCTGGAAGACATCTTGGAATCGAATAATCTGGCTGCCGCAAACCCCCTGTCTCGGTGAATAACGAGAGCGATTGCGAAGGGCAGACGTCGCTCAGCCACCCCGTTTTGCCAGCGGCGCACCGGGCTCTAGACCATGAGCTCGAAGAACTATAGCTCTTTGAGGGCCAAGTCCAGGTCCAGATTGCGCTGGTTGAAGGCAGGACACCCTGGCATGTTTTTGAATGACATGTGAATCCACAAGATGTCACCCGCGACCACATGGTTGAAGTCGAGAATATTCCCTTTGAGGGAGATGGCCTGTGCTCTGCGGGGATCTTTTTCATCGCGGTCGTCCTGGAGCGCCGCCTTTCACGGTGTGTGGAACACCGTGGTCACCGCAACATTGGCCAAAGCGGCGGCGTAGGCCTGAACACGCGTTTGCGAGACATGCGTTCTGCGAATGTCACGTCGTTGGTCAGTAAAGACACTGGCTTCCTCAGCGGTTGTTGGTCAACCACATTTTGCATCTGGTACTGGCACCTTTGTCCAGCTCAGCAAAACACGCAGTAAGCGCACGAGGTTCTCCTCCTTCTGCCTCTTCATCCTCTCTTGCTTGCTGATATTGAAACGAAAAAGATGGCACCAGACTGTGAGCAAAATGGGCTTGGCTTCCCATGTCTCCTCCGCCACGTGTCCATCTCGCACCTTGCTGGTGGTCGAGCGTTTTTGCAATCTCGGCGGGGTCTCGTTGCCAGATGAGGTGAGTTGAGTCAGCGCCAAATTCGAGTCCTCACGCACGGAGCGCTCTTGCCCTGATCCCGGTCAGCCTCATATCCTTGTAGCCAGCCCGCCCAGGATCAGCTCCTCGTAGGCTTTGGGAGATGGGTGTTGTTGATCCTTTTCTGCGCGGCCCTGTCACTTTTCGAGCAAGCCACCAGCTCCTGGACAAGTTGCTCCCTCTGCGAGGGCGTCAAGCCGGGCCCGCAAACGTGCAAGGGGCAGTTGCGCCTTCGATGGTAGCCTGGTAGGCTTAGGCTTAGCTTCCGACAGCATCAGATGGACCTCCTTCATGCCATGAACTCCCAGCAAGATGCGTATATCCGCCAGTCCGTTGCGTTAAAAAGTGCTCCACTTGGATGGGTCGAACCAATGCTCCCGGGGAACTACATGAACGCAGATAAAATCACAATCAGTTTCAACCCAAATATCACGCTGGTGCCTGACAGAGTTCCCACCACCCATAGAACCCAGCGCCACCCATGACATTCTCACCCGATGAAAGGCAAAAACTTCAGCGCGTTAACCTCTTTGGAAAGGACAAAGGTTTTGCGCGCGATGAATGCCTTTGAGCAGGGGAGTCCGACTCCACCAAAAGACTTCTGCAGTCTCTCTGTCAAAGAGAGTGGGAAAAACATTGCAGAATCTGTCACGAAACCGCAGGATGGCCAAGAAGCCATGCATTCGGACAAGATGCAGAAACACTTCCAGGCTCCTGCCGCTGAAAATGATAAGAGACCGCCAGCAATCCAGCAATCCAAGCAGGCAACGTCTACCAAGCTTGAGGGCGCGTGGGCGAATGGTCAAACAAGATGCACCACCCCATCCGGGAGATGTGATCCAGGCGGTATATTTGCTCTGCCCATTGGGCAAAGAGCGGCAGAGCAATTACAGGTCTTTGGTTTCATGTGCCTCCAATCAAAAGTAGACAAGGGGGCATACGGGGTCATATATATATATAGAGAGAGAGTGCGCGCGCTATACTTATATATATATATATGCGTGTGCGCGTGCGCTATAAAACATTGGGAAAAACATGCGCGCGCACGTTTACGGCACATCGTGCTCTTGAAGCCTCCACCACAATGCGCCGTTCTCAGCTTTTCGCTTGCCTCTCTGCGCGTTTGTTTCGTGTTCCCACCTTCGATTGATCTTAGACTTTCATAGCACTTGCCAATCCTTTTGAATTGCAGACAAGCTCTGTAAGAGGACTGCTTGCAGAGACTATGTTGCCACCATCCTGAGATTGAAGAAACTGTTTTTACCTCGTTATTCATCAGCCCAAGCAAAACCCTAACTGTGGCAAAGACTCGCTAGCTATCTTATAACTGCGTCAACCCGTCAGCTACAACGGGCTCAAGCAGCCCCAGGCGCGCGCAGCTTGTCATTGAAACACTCTTCAGCTGCAAGTCGTGGGGTGGGCCCCGCCGCTTTTCAATATGGACCTGTTCACTCTCAACGGCGTGGGTAGGAGGAATCCGACACCTCTGACAGTCCTGAGCGCTGACTCTACACAAGCAATCTGTTCAGCGAAGCAGTCCTTACCAGTGTAGGCGTTGGCCCCATGGATCCCTGTTTCCAGTGTAGGAGTGTAGGTAACTCACAAAGCCTCCTTTCCTTGTTGCTCAACGCCTGACTTGACCGCAAATATGGCACGCTCCCATCTTATCAGCAGCAAAAGCCGATTATCTGGGGGGGTTGACGCGCGTTTCACTGGGATGCGATTTGTTTAAACCATTCCCGGCTGATTGGCCATGAGCTGATGGCCAAGGCTTTTGCATTTCGAGCCTTTGCTCTTTCATGTCCTTTTTGCGAAGCTGAAAGAGACCATTCCTGTCCTTATTCATAATGCGTTGCGCGCGTTGCCCATGCTTCCACCTGCGCGCTCCCGCGCTGCAACTGACGCAGGTAATGAACCCCCACGCACAAACGTCGCCAAACGTGTCAAAGGCACGTCCATGGTATTGAAACCGCTGTGGTGGCATCACCAGCATAAGTCTGTCCGATGGTTCACCGAGGTGGTGTACAGCGGGATCATGTGAGCTTCACTTGCCTTGCAACACCGCGCAGCTGGAAAACTGCGGCCCAGGCAATCCTTGAGTCAGCTGGTGGCAATTTGTTGGTTGGTGCTTTGGGGAGCTGCAAGTTTGCATTGGCTTCGAGCTTAAGTCAGACACTCCATCACTGAAAGCGAAAACTTTCCCAGGGCTGCCCCGTTGAGAACCAGAGCCACCAGTGGGCTCAACACTTGACGGCAACGGCTCCTGCCTGATTTGTAAAGGGGTATCGAATCGAGAGCCTGCCGTGTTTCGATACTTTCTGAGCCACGCATCAAGGGCGTAGCACCCATCTATGGCTTTCTGCGTAGATCCCTGCTCGTGTTTTCATGTAGCCGCTGGGGCATCATGGTGCGCGTGGGCAATGGAGCAAGCGCATGCCAAGCTCCATTGCAGAGTGTTCCTTCAAATGGTGATTGGGCCTATAGGATCCTCCAAATGAAAAATGAATGCATGCCCATGCCTGAATGACTGTGCTATGTGGACGCTGCTCAAACGCACACTTTCTCCAACGACCAAATCAATCTACTTGTTCTCTCGATTCTCCTGCGCTTGTCTACGTCTCTTTCTCTCTGCATTCAATAAACGTCACCAAGATTCCGAAGTCGCTGGTGGTTTGAAATCTGTGAGCATAGCCTGGGATGGGCACCAGAATGGAAAAAGGACGAAGCTAAATCGTACAAAAGTGAAGACTTCGTTCTATTTTCTATGTCCTTTTTCGAACTTTTTCCTCTCAATCCAAAAGCGGGCCGCGGGTGAAAAGCATGATACAATGCACCTGCGATCTACACTGTCAATTCTTCACACTCCTTCTCGGTGGAACGCGCGCTACTCTGGGGAACGGTGTTTGCTGCGTTCGCCTCAGAAATCATGTCATAGGCCTGTCCACAAGGCCTCCATTGAGAATCAACCCGCAATGCAGTCTCCTCGTGTAGCCTGTCATCTTCCTCTCTCCTGTCGAACTTCTATCATTCTCACTTCCAATTCATTCACATTGCCTGCGCGGTGAATGAATCTTCTCTGCACTTCTAGTCTTTCTTTCACGTAGTTCCAGAAGATCCACGTTGCTGCTATGGCCATTGCTGATCACGATGATCGCGATTTTCCAGTTTCTATTGTAGTCTTCTACTTCCAATGTGCACTGGTCAACTCCTTTCATGAAGGTAGTAAGCTTCTGTAACCATGGGCTGCAAGCCCTCAAAGGTCACAATTCTGACCATCCTCTTGGCAATTTTGTTGACCTTGCCTGCAAAGTTCTTTCTTTGCTCGTACGCCTTTCTCTCAAGCTCACCTCTTGTTTGCTCTTCGTTGCGCCAGCAACCAATAAGGTTCATCATAAATCTGATCCTCTGGCCTCCAAGTGGTTTGGCGTTGATGTCTGCCATGTTGCTATCTGTTGCAACTGGCACCATATTGAAATCTTTGCGGTTCTGAGCCCACAGCAACATGCCATCTCAATGGCTCACGTTAAAAACTCCTCTGCATCACAAGATGGTGCGCACTCGAAGAATCTGTGAAGATGTAATGGTCCACCTTTGTCCCAAGCGCAAACTCAAGAACTGAGCGAATATAAATATATATATATATATCCCTCTCTCTCATCTGAAGCTGAGGAAACTATCGCGCACAACTCTGCCTCACATGAAGATAAGCTAACCATCGTCTGCGTTCGACTGCTGTTGAATAATGGGCAGGCAACTGCTCAATGCGTCGAATCCTCCTGACGTTGACCTTCTATGGCTTTTGTTTCCGCCCCAGTCTGAGTCTGAGAATGTCTCTAGACACCTATATATAGTGTCCACAGTTCTCCACGTAGCCTTCTCCTGCTTGTCGAAACTGAACCACTAGACAATAGTCCATCGTCTTCGTCAAGTATCCTACGAATTTCTTCAAGTGATGAAAGGATATAGTTGTTGGATTTGACATCCTTGAAGCCAATTCCTTGACAGCAATGCCGCGTCGTACCTTTCTTAACAATGCTCCTGAATAAGCTGACTTTCTCGTGATCACTCAGGATCTCTCACTTGTCCTCCATCTGAATGGAGTTGTGTGGTAGTTGCTGAAGTTTGACCTTTCCAACCTGCTCTTCATAAGCCTTCAGCATCTGTTGAATGTAGTTACTTGGTTGGGTCCATAGTCGATCTTTTTCTAGTTTGCACTTTCACCTCGGGAAATTGAACTCGTCACCAGTCTTCTTAACTTTGTTCGCGCTGGTGTCAAAAGTGTCTTGAATCTTTGGAAGAAAGATCTTGTTGGCGAACTCTCAACAACCTACGAAAATCAAGTCATCCACATGAATCAAAACACTGAACTTGTAATCAAGGTCCTCGGTGAGGACCCTGTGAAAAAGTCAAGCCAAGCCTTCGCTCCAACTCTCTGTCCAGGTAAATCCCTTTTTTGCCAGAAATTCTTCTCTCAAATTCACTTTCGAAGGCTTCTCTTGTGGAACTTGCAAGAATGCTTCCTTCACGTCTGGACAACCTAGCACTCGAGAAAACGCTCCTTCTCTCTCTCTCTCTTCACTGACTCTCTGCAAGAAGATCGTAGGTTGCTTGCGGCGTGATGGAGAACACGAACCAGAGAAAAGCCCAGCAGAATGGGTCGTGTGGCTGATGAAGTTGAAGAAAAGAGACTTCAGAAGATGCAAGCGCGAGAAAAGCCAGACGGCGGTGTCAGTTCCTTGACTACCCGCAATGCGTACGATTGGAGAAAGAAGAGTTGCCATCATGAGGATGGGGCAACAAGCAAGATATGGAAAAGAAGATCAAGATTAGTTGCGCGTGAATTTGCTTTCGCTGAAGGAAAGAGAGACGCAGGTCCATTTAGTTGATCTTCTTCTTCTCCTTCCTCATCTCCTTCTCCTTGCCAATCCTCTTCATCAACTTCTTCTGCAGCTGGAGGTAGTTCTTCGTCTACGTGATAGAGGTCTTTTTGCTTGAATCATCTGATGGCCTAGGCTTCTTCGTAGGACTCTCGTCTTCAAGAAGTTCAAACGCTTCCCTTGGTCTCGAAGGCGGTAACCTCAACGACGATGAAATAGGAGTAACTGGATTGGGTTGACCTCTGGACGGCGTTGGCGTGAATGCTTTCATCTCCTGAAATGTTTTCTCATCTGCAAAGAGAACTTTTTGCTTCTCGCTTGGGCCTCCTCTCCACTTGGCTTTCTTACTTCACTTCCATCTCTTTTCCCTGCTTCACCCGGATGTTCCGGCGGTGCGAGAACTGGGGTAGGCTCTGGTAGAAGTGGTTGTTGTCGTTCTGAATCACTTCCTCCTTCAAGAGCTTTTGCAATGACGACTTCAGTACCTTCATCTCTGAACTCCAACATCACATGCTCTCGAGGAATGTCTGTTTGTCCTACTGGCAACGCTTCTGCTCTTTTTTGGTGGCAATAATTATGCCTCCAAAATTTGTCTGGTATTCCCATGAATAGGTTTGAAGCTTTTGTAGGTTGCCAAATACTCGGACCAATCTTAATCTGTTCTGACGCATTTGCTCAGCACTATTTGCACACTGTCTGTACCCGCAATTAAGCATGGATGTCCGGTTGACTGGTCGAAATCGACGCAACACCCAACTGGCATGCCTTGCTGCCCCAGTCAAAAGTGCATGATCTGACCCTATCTTGATACCAAGCTTTGATTGAATACCTTCAATGAAAATGCCTGCGAGCTTACTCACCCTGTCTGACAGAAATGAATGATTTTAAAGGATTCAACCTGGTTGTAAGACCTAAGCTGTGACGAGCATTGATCAGCATCTTCAGGATCTGTTCCGTTGTGGGTTCATTGTCGCCCCTGTAGGTGATTGGTGACTACGCCAAGGTCTGACTGAAACCCATCAGTTCTTGTGCGAAAAGACGAAATTGATTCTTGCTTCCCAGTGGCACAACATGGATGAATCCAGTCTGGCTATCGATTGCAGCTAGCCAACATACTGCCCTAGCTGACTTGGTTTCTAAATCTCTTGCTCTATCTATCTAGTATAGCAAAAGTCAAATCTCACTTAAGGGACACTTCCTCTCTTAGTCCCATCTGTTCTCTCATGGCGATCTGGACGCGCTCGATGCCCAACGCACTCCGTACACCGTTTGGCAAATGGTAGGTGCGTCAACCTGCGCCTTGCTTGAGTAGCTTCATCGGGCACCTTTGCCACACGTTGTCCTAGAGCTTTTCTGGTCTCCTGAGCTTTTGCTTCACTTACAAAGCTCTTGGCATTAAGAAGTTCCATCTTCTTGCTGCCATTGAAGATCTTTGTTTAGACCTTCAACTTAGAGCCAAGAAATGAGCACGCTGCTCTCAACGTTGCCAAAGTAGAACCCTTGGTTAATTCTACTCCATTCACCAGCAGGACCTTCTCTACGTCACTCACACTCCAAATCTTCTTCTTTCTTACCCTCTTCTGGTCCTCTACTGCCTTCTCCGGTTGAGTATAGGGGTAATCTCTTCGATTGCTTTCTCCACTTCCTTCTTTGTCTCGTCTCTATTTTCAAGCTCCTTGTATCCTGGTGCAAAGAATCCCATATCTTCTGGCGGCGCTGGCTCATAGCCATTGAAGGAATGACTGCGCCATCATCAAAGAATTGCTCATCAAGTTCCTCATTCTTCCTCACACTTTCGCAATATTTAGGCGTGAGCCATCGACCTCCTCTCTTCACTAAAATGGTTTTCATCAGCTCTGGTGATGGAATGAACAACGAGCAAAGCATGCTCATTGAACTTCCAACCTGCTGCTTTCTCCAAAGCTTCAGGAACTTGCACCTCCAAGCAGCGCGCATCTTCATCTCAAATGATTCTAACGCGGCTTTGGACAGTCAAAGAGCGATTTTGCAAAAGTGGAGTGGTACCTACAAGTCACCATTGTCCAATGTTTGTTCTCGACCATTGATTCCCGAACCATTCTCCCTCAGTCTTCCAGAACAAAGTATGGGGCGATGCAAATTTGAACTGAAGATCACATTCTTTTTGAGAAGAACTTCACATCCATCAATGTCACGCAAGGAGATCTCGACGCTCTTCATACCCCCCCTGGAGATGTCAACCTTCTTCAAAAAAGGTTTTCTCCTTCTCTCCGTGGCATCCATGGCTCAACACCGTCATCTCCAACGTAAAAGTGAATAACTCGAATTCCACGGGATTCTGAACCACCATGTCTATCTCGCAGGTCGAATATGATTGGCTCATTCTTTCAACCCTCCTGACAACTGGTTTGGTCTCGGCTGAACTGCTCTGCTGAGTCACATTTGCCTGTCGTTGGCCAACTGTATGTGTAGTCACTGAACCTCCTCCTGAAGATGAATGGGCTGGATCACTTGCAACCTGTCGAATATTGTTCCTCCAACACTCTCGAGCAAATGTCCGGGCTTCCCACAAGTGTAACAATTTGCCACACCTTTTCCTTTCTGGTCCTTGCCCTTGCCTTTGCCCTTGTAATCACCTTCCTTTCCTTTCTGTGGTCTTCTTCTTTGTTTCCTTTTCCTTTGGCATCTTTACCTTTGCCCTTCTGGCAAGCATTCTTGCCTTTCTCGCCCTTTCCTTTGGCATCTTGAACTCTATCGACGTCCATAGGGATAGTCTGCACTGCTACTTGCAACCATTGAAGTAACCCATTTCTGTTGAGAACGGTCCCATTGCAACACTTGTTCCCTCACAGTTGAGTGTTGAACAGTCGCCAATTGTCAAAACCAAGCAGGACTTAAGCTGTCCGCACACACACATCTCAAAAGAATCGCAGGTTTCAGCTCTTCCTGACTTGCTGACTTGACCGTCTCCTCAAATACCTCTTCCAGCTTGAGAAGTTGAGGTTGTGGAGCACTGTTCATAGAAAATGCTGGCCACGCAGTGGCTGCTCCCAAAAGCGCTAATCCTCTTGCCTTCGAAGTGGGTTTCAAAGCTCTGTTCAAACTACTCCCCCGGCATCAAATCCATTGGAGTCCTCCACAGCTTTAACCAATGGTAACGCCACGCCCCGCATCAACGAAGCTAGCAATCCATAAAGCTTGATGCATCTGGTCTTTTCTTCTTTTAAGCCTCATCCACTGAACTCAGGTGCTTCTCAAAAACCCATGACCGCTCTCTGAACGCTTTGACTGTGACTTATGTTCAAACAAGCCAGGGTTTGTGATCAGCTTTGACCAATCCTTTGTACTTGCCTTCTTGTCTTCAACCGCTTTCTTCACTGCCTATGCTGCTGCTTGCGTGCTCCTCGAAACTACTTCCAGGATCTCTCTTATCGCATCCGTCGTCCCAGAACAATATTGTTCAAGTAATTAACACAATGTACGGGGTACAGAGTGCAGTTCACAACAGTTGGTCAACGGGTCAGCAGTTCGGGTTCAAAGGCCCCACATCGGCTCAGACGGTTCCGGGATCCCAGTAACCTACCTAGGGGCTTTTCTCTGGAGCTCAAAAGGGGTTCCCTTGCCCTTACTCCGCTACCATACGAACTTTTTCCTCTCAACCCAAAAGCGGGCTGCAGGTGAAAAGCATTATAATTACAATGCACCTGTGATCTACACTGTGAATTCTTCACATCGTTTGATCTTCACTTTGGCTTCGCTTCGTTTCCACTTCCTGCATTTTGCCAAAAAGCATTTGGGTTGATGGCGTGAGAGGTTACGCCATCGCTCCGAGAATTCCGAAGCTGAAATTCCAGTTCCTTTGAAAAGGCAAGGACCTGGGCCATGAGAAACAAAGCTCGACGAAAGCTCGGTTCCCTTTTCCCTTCTTCCGCCTTCCTCCTTCCATCCCTTTCTTGTTTCTCAAAGGAGTTCCTCCTTTTGCGGCTTTTGCCAAAAATGAGAGACTCATCCTAAGCGCTCGGCCGCAAGCTTGGCATTGCTGTAAGCTTCGGCAGGCCTACAACCTGCCATAAAGTACTGCTCAAAAGCATGGAAAAAAACCTTTCATCTTTGCGTTCGATGTTGAGGGGGCGATTGCGGAGAAACTGAGCGAAGCATTTTTGTCGAGGTTTGGCATCTCATGTTCTTTGCGAGATTCAGTAACTTGTCTTTACCGTCGATGATCTGGTCTTAGAATCCGGGTATCTGTGTGTTTAACTGCGATTAGTTGCAAACACAGCTCGACACAGTGGCTGATCTGCAATTGAAGCGCCGTTGACCAAGAACGGTTGATATGCTCTGCCTCAATCCTATAGTGGACAAAATGACTAGAAACTAAAAATCAAACGATTTTCAAGCAAAAGAAATTATAAACAGAGCGCACCAAGGAAACGATCGAAAATCCATCACAGAAAATCACCCTAGAGGCCGGACGCCGAAGGCTTTCTGGTATGTTACGAAACCAAAGACCTGAAAAAAGCGCTTTCTGGCCAGCCGCAACCGTAGCATTCGAGGCTGTTGCAAGGCGCAAGAGGAGGTGCAAGGCACTGCGAGAACAGGCATAGGACACGGCGTACTTGCTTGTCAACCATAGATCACCCACAACTTGGATAATTGGGACAGACGACAGATTGGCAAAAGTAAATGCAAAACCCTTCAAAAACCATCAAAAAAGAAAGTGCAATAATGTTTGAAGACGGTCGAGCATGTCTTTGCGAAGTAGAGATTCTAGACTGCCTTTGTTGTTTCAAGAAATGAAGTGCACACTGACAGTGTGCAAAACCTGGAGAACGCGTCAAATTTGGGCGTGTGGTATTCTACATCTAAAAGGCTTTTCAAAGGCTCAGGCTTCGACGTTCCACACTCCATTCAACAGGATCCCGAGAAGCTACTTCGGAATCCTAAAAGTGAAAATGAAAATGCAAGTCTCGTCTTCACAGTGCAACCTTTCAAGTCAAGGCGCTAAAGATGCTTCCAACTCATGGCTGGCTCCAACCCTGCCAGGATGGGCAAAATGAACCGGCCACAAACATCGTCACGACACCTTTGTAGCTGAAACACTTTGCACAACACAGCAGTTTCTCTGCTAAATCAGTCGACTCCAACGCCCTAAGCCTTCAACAAGTTTTAGCACCTGCTTGCATTGAAGGCCACCCGCAGCGAACCAACCCTGAACGCAAACAGGAACGGCACAAAAGCGGCTCAGACCTTCTCTGCGCAAACGAACCTTCTGCGCGACAGCCGAGATTCTACAGATGGCAGACTTACATCAGTTTCCGCATGGTTCCGTGTTTTTGGTCCCGGCTGACATCTTGACAAAAGACGCCAGCTACGCTGGTACAGTAGATGGGTGAGCGGAGAACAAAAGACAAAAGAACTTTCCATTGAAAAGAACCATCGTCGAATCTTTATCGTATTGGAACATCGGCCACAAGTGAGTGTCAAATGCATGAGTGCCTCAAGTGTGCCCTTTTTTGGCACTCATAGAATGTAATTGTGGGCGCATTTTTGGCTTCATGATCTTGTGTGCTCAGTGTCACGGCCATACGGGCCCCTGAAGATGTTGAGTTTTTTGTGAGCAGGGCTTTGATGGTTGTTCACAAACTTTTCGTTTGATGGATTTTCACGAACAATCACGAACGCGTTTGTGTTCACGTGCGTGTGGGAGGAGGGTGAGGGGGGACAGTGATGTACGTTCATTCGTTCGGACAGTGCATCTCTTCTAAACCGCAGCAGCATGGGTCAATTCGAACCAGATGATCTTTGGCGCCCAGCAGCTGGATGGGCTGTGGTCGTGGATGAAGAAGTTCATCCCGCAAAGCAAGAACCGATCCAAAGGCAAATGATTGGTGAATCCAAGGCTGTGGAATAGAGTTTTCCAGCCAAGAGCGCAAGCCCGGAAAGCTGGAAAAAAAACGATCCGAGTGCACTTGTGTTCGAATCTTCGAAGGCGGAAAGTGCATTTCATGTGGGCCTGCCTGTACGAATACACGGGGCCCGAAAGGACATGAAACATGAAACCATGTTTTTGAGTTGGGCTCTAGATAGATATGTGCATATATGCGCTGTTTGCTGTAAGCCTGTCGTGAGTTCATTGCCATAGGTCATGCGCGTGATGTTGTTGCTGTGTGATTTTTTGCGATGTTGTCGGTGCTGACGATGATGATCATGATGATGATGATGATGATGTAGAAAATGTAGAAGATGTAGAACATGATACGGGCATACGTTGTTCAAAGAGAACCTTGAATGACTCAGCAAGTTCAAGCGTTGCTGCCCTGCTTAGTGACAAGCTGATGTTTGACCGACATATGACATGTTCCATTTGCCATCACATCCACACTGTAAAATCAATAGCACTCATTCGTGTGGCATTCAACAGCACACAGCGTGTGAAATCGTTGCAGATTCACTGCGAATAGCACATAACTTGGCAAATGACATCCAAATCAAGAGCATCCTTTGATGTGGCATCCCAGAGCACATCATAAGGCACATGAGGTCCTGTGAGTAGAACCAATCCAAACAGATCATGTTGCATACTATAGAGCATATTTGAGGTGAGTGAAAAACTCCTTTGTACTAAAGCACGCACTTGTGTTGACAAGTTTTTCAATGCGAACCAAGCAACCAAGACCAGGGGGCCAGAAGCAGGACCAAAAAAACGGAACCAGGGAACCAGAAGAGGTGATGAAGGGACCAGGAAAGCAAGGACCGGCGGGCCAAAGGACCAAAGAACCAACCAGGAGAAGCCATGCGTGCTTGATGCAAATCAATTTTTCATATGCGAGGAGGAATGAAGCTGACGGCAAGCACAGCAAAGCTGACAGAGAAAGCGAAAGAAAACACAATGGCTGCTGTCGCTTCAGCTTTGCGCCTTATGGTCTCCTGGATTGGCACTGGGCTGCCGAGCCAGCCCTGCAGTATACCCTGCATCCAACGCAAGTCGCGCGCATCTCGCACGTGTGCCCTGGACTTGCGCAAAACACGCCGGCAAATGCCGGATTGTTCATGAGCCTTCCTTCGGGATAGATGCATCTACAGTGCTAGGTAAACAAACAAAAATCCGCCAACCCGCAAGCGCACCACGCCTCTTTTCTTAACAAAGCGGTATGGGCAAAATATACCTGCTGCAAAGCCTTTTGCAGCAAAGGCCTAAAGGCACAGGCATAACATATGCCACGATGCCAAAAGGTCAAGGCACAACATATGCCTGGCACCCGACATGGGCGATCAACATCTATCGCGCGCGCCGAAGGGTGGCAGAGGGCGGGGCGCGCAAAACCCACGGGGAGTGAGGTAGAAAAGTCACCACAACCCTACTGCGTGAAAGCTGCAGCGCAGGGGCAATGAACAGAAAACTTGAAGGGTACCTAAACACAGAGACGCCCAAGTCCCCCTTAGATGGACCATGGTCCAGACCTGCTGCAAAACCTTTTGCAGCAAAGGCCTAAAGGCACAGGCGTAACATATGCCACGATGCCAGAAGGTCAAGGCATAACATATGCCCTGGCACCCAAACATGGGCGATCAACATTTACCCCACCCGGAAGGCGTCCCATGCAACTGCGCAGCTTAGGAAAGCCAGTGTATGGAGTAGGCGCTTGGGCCTCCGACTTGATCAACCCCAAGGTTTCTTTTGTTGAAGACGTTCCCTTCTCGCACGTTTGCCTGTCCTCTTTGCAATCCCTGCGCGGATTTCGCCGAAAAGGTCTGCTCCAGCGTCTAACATATCTTGCAGAATATAATGCCTTCTTAATTGTCCGGACAGAAGCGGACCCTCCGCTCCGGGTCGAAGCCACGGAAATCTCCATTTGTTAAAGCGTCTTCCCGGTTTTGCAAACGGGGCGTCCACTCTAAGCGCATCTGCACGTTGCCCTGGATCATCCTTGCCGCGATCTCCATGAGGAATCTATCACTGGAAACTTCGTTGTAAGCAGTCGGCTCAAAACATGGGCATTGCCCGAATTGTAAGTGGCAGCAGAGCAGTAGAAGATACCCTCCTCACAGCCCCTCGTTCCGAAAACGACCATCCCTACCAGTGTAGCTAGCATCTCCAAAGATGATATTGCCCTAAAAGGTTCTCCTGCAATGAAGGCCCAACTTTCATTCTGCCTGGCTAGCCGCTCGCTGAACCATGGGCAATTCATGGTGGAGGATGGATCATCTGCTACGGCCCAACCACCTATACAGATTTCTTCACCTTCTGCCTTCGCATCTGTGCGGAACAGTTCGACGGGCTTCGGCGATCTTGCGCCCACCGGTTGCGCACTGCAACCTTGTAGTAGCATCTTGCGCAGGAACTCCAAGACTAAACGGACAACCTTCGACAGCTTGCTGCTCTTGCAATGTCCGACTGCCACGCTCCAGGAGTACAAGGGTTTTTGGAAAGGCCTCAAGCATTCCACTGCTGCAGAGGTGAAGCTGAAACGACCCAGAACTGAGGGCAAACTCACTCGTACACACACGGTCTTCCTCCAATGCAGTCTGCAACCATTCTACTATCCAACGCGTACGCTTGGCAACGATACCAATTAGCAGCTTTTCAATGTCCAAGTTATAATAGCCGACCCAGTCTACACTCATGCCACATGTAAAAGGAAATCCAAGCGCAGACAGGAAGAGCAAAGCGACTGCAATAGCTTCTGTCCCCGAAGCACCTCTGGCAATCCACAACATGTCGTCAACAAAGCTTCGTTTCTGCAACGCTGGCAATCCCAAAAGTACCTACTGCGTTGACCCAAACATGCGCAGACTGCTTCGATCTTGCACGCTGGGTAACCCCAATCACATTCTCGGATTTTCCCTAAACGGTGCGCTCTGCTCACATCTGCGGTCAATACAAAAGTGGGCCGCTCCAATTCCTTGCGCGCTTGGCGAAGGTCACCCGCCGTTGGGACTGCAAGCTGGTCTCTCTGCAACCATTCACCCCTGCGCTGCATGGGCGCTGTCATGGATGACACGGAAAGCGCTGTCAGACTTAGGTATTGCTCCAAGCGACGCCAGCCGCAAAGTGTCCCCGTACTTTGCAAGCGCCTCCTCCCAGCTCATTTTGACCATTGCACCGCGTTTTTCCTCTTCTAAGAACTGTGCCTCCAAGGTCTCCATTCTCTTCTGCAGTGTGGTAATTCCCTCGCAGATCTGTGTCTGGCAACTGTTCGCCCGCGTATTCCCTGCGCATTACCTTTCTCTCAAACACTGCCGGCGTGCGTGGCAGCTCGCGCTTGACTCCCACTAAAGGACATGCTGCTGCTGTAGAAAGCCCGAAAATCCGGATCCCCGGAAATTCTCAAGACCTCCTCAATGAAAGGAAGCTTGAAGGGTTGTCCTCCGGGTACTTCCTCAAGATCCAGCTTTGCACCAAATCATTGCACGCTTCTCAGGCGTCCATTTGCTCCCGCAAAATTTTTCGCAATTCAAGAAAGCAAGGCTTGGGAAGCCCGTCTTCATCCTCATCTGATGTGACTTCTTCACAACAAGGAGGGGCCACATCCTCACTTGAAACATGAAGGGGAGCCAATGACTTCTCTGCGCCACCACACAGCGCTGGAAGATTTTCCCCGATCGAAGGCGAGCGCTGCGCGCAAGAAGCGTCAACCAGGCACAAGTTGTTAACCCTAACAGCTTCTGTCTAATCGCGGCTGACAAACATAGACAAACTGGCAACGTGATGCCAGAGTCAACAAAACGTTTGTTGACAGGCCAGCTATCATAGCGGACGGACGTCGCAGCATGCAAACGCTCGTCCAGAGGGATATGACAGGCTTGGCTGTCCAAGACTTTAAGTTTGGGTCGTCAAGCCAAACTGGCGTCTGTGCTCTCAGACGAACTGGAACTGTCATTGTTCTTCAAGCCGCCATCTTTCCAACAATGTTTGCAAGCTGAATCGAACACGACGCCCTCGAGACTGTCAAATCCTTCGAAAAACATTGCTGCCGCAACCATTCCATCTTTGCAAGCGGCGAAAGCGCAGGTTTTTGGGAACGCAGACAAAAAAAATTTGACTCGGCAGCGTTAATGCCAGGTCCAGCGCTCTCTGAAGTCTCTAGCTCTGTGGGCAGCCCAAAACCCGACATCTAAGATCTCCATGCTCTGGTTGATGGCGCTATCCGATTCGCCGGATTGGCGGAGATGCAACTCCAAGTCTTTTAAGCCAATGCTCTTGATTTCACCTGAAACATCAGCCAGTACTCCTGTGACCAATTCCTCTTGCAGTTGTCGAACAACGCTGCGAGCAGTATGTAGATATTCATCACTGCTGCGCGACACTCGCCAGCGACCCAGAAAATCCCGTCTCTCCCGGGGCTCGCTACGCTCGGACCAAGCACGACCCGTGGCACGGCACAACACCAGCTTGAAGCCATTCGCCTCCGCGCCAAACAGGAAGCCGCAACTCTTGGCATAGGCCTTTTGACAGTGTGCAAGTGGCAGTTTAGTCTACCATGCAGCATTGGCGAGAAAGCAAATCTGCTGACGGCAAGGGGATAAAGTAGTCCCTGTCAAAGTTCATGCCTTCCGACTGCCAGAGCTCATACCCCGTAGCCAATTTGCCTGCGATTGCGCGCAGGTCTGCAAGGCAATGAAAACCTCCACTATCATAGCCAGATCTTCCGCGTCGGCCGCGAAGTTGACCAAAAACTGCCGACGGTCTCCATCGTCCAGACAGAGAGCGTCGAGCGCCTCAACTCTTCGGCGCTGAGCTCTGCCAGAGCCGGCGCGCACTCCTCGCTGCACTCGGCGCAGCTCATCACAAGAAAAAGCGCGCAAAACCCAAAGGGAGTGAGGTAGAAAACTTTCAACTCACTACAACCCTACTGCGTGAAAGCTGCAGTGCAGGGGCAATGAACAGAAAACCTCAAGGGTACCTAAACACAGAGATGCCCAAGTCCCCCTTAGAGTGACCATGGTCCACACCACGACATGAGAGTCTCTTGAACGCTGCAACGTGGCTTTGACTGAACCTTACCCGCGCGGCGCATGCTTTCAACTAATTTGAGGTCTCGGCAGGACGATAGTCCGGGCGCATGGCAGCATCAGAGTTACAATTGCTCAGTTGGACACAAGTTTCTCCATCTTCTCAAAGGAAGTCAGGCGGGACCTCATCCGGTCCTCCCCCATGGAATTGCCGAACAACAGCATCAACAAGAAAGGAGCAAAGCGCTGGGCGCTTCCGCGTCTTCGAATGATTCGAACGACACCGAGGGCTCTCCCCGAGTATCGGTGACAACTGGCAGAGGCAACGTGCGCCTCGGCTTTCGTTTGTACATTGCCACTCTAACTTGCACGCGCAGGGCATTTCTGCCGCTTCAAACAAAGTTCTTGCAATCAAAGGAGGGTATGAGCGTCCACCCCAAGGTTCTGAGGGCCTGCTCAATCGTTTTGGAAACAAAAGTTGCACACAAGCGTCATCTCCCCGCAGGGGTCCCAAGTCTGGTTGCTTTTGGACTTGCGAAAATAGTGGGGGCCATACTCTTGTCTCAGTACGCGCAACACCTGCCTGGCTGGTAGATCGTCATTTGGCTCATCGGCAATGGCTTCGGCAACGCGTTTGGAAACTCAGTCTGTCCTTCCCAGCAGGAAGGTCCACCTGCGTCTAGATCATGAGGCTCCGTGGGCGTGTTGGAGTAACACTGTGAAGAGCAAGCCACAGTTTTGGGGACCCAGGCTCGGCCCGATAGGGTCGGCCCGATCCGAGGCAAACTGCTGCAAATCTCTTCATAGTCAATCAGCATGCAGCCTTCCACGCCATGACTCTGTAAGGACGCAAAAAGCATATGCGTCATATGTCCCCACGCCTGCTCACAAAGCTTGCGAGAGGATTTTGAAGGCTCTCCTCACAAGCACGATGACCAGACACGCAGGAGCAATTATTGCTGCTTCCTGCCTGCAGCTCCGTTCATGCTAGCCTACGCTACCGTGAGATCATCCGGCCCAAGATAGACCAGGTCAACCCTGGTACCCGGAGAATCGATCGTGTCTGACGTCGCAGTCAAAACTAAGACACATCGATCGCAACACCAACACGCGAAGAATTACCTCATCTCTGCTCTGCAAGTCTTTGATACGACCAAGGAAGGCGCGTTCTTCCATGATCCCTTATCTGGAGGGGTGCAGGCTGGGGACCCATCCACCATGTTGGCGTACACCCCATATAGCAGCTCAGCGAACGACTGAATCCAATCATTGTCAAGTATCAGCGGGACGGCTGGAATTCACCCTGCAGCTGATCTGGCCGACGCCATTGGACGCACGCTCCAAGAATGGTCCCAGAAAGCTGCCGTGTTGTCATTGGACGACTTACGGGGTAAGACTGTCACTGCATCGGCATCGCAGCACGCCGCAGTCCATCCTGGAGGGGCCATACTTTAAGTTGGCCCTTTGCCCCAAAGTTCGCTGAGACAAAGCTTTGCGCAAGGCCGCCTTTTCCCCGTAAAGATTATAGATTTCATCTGTGTCCTGCAAGGCTTCTGGCGGCAGTAGTCTGGGATCAAGCGATGATCAAGCCAGTCAAAATCTGCCCGCGTAAGCGACAAGAACTCAATCTCAAGGACATTCCAGCAGGAGCCAAACGTTTGAAATATTGACCAGAACAGCTGAACGTAATTTGCCTTCTGACCAAAGGCCTGCGAGTCCTGCAACGCAAAATGTCGGTCAGTGAGGGTACACGCACAAAATAAGTAACTAGAAAGAGCCTTGAAAAAGACCATGGCCGACCATTCCTGTACGCGATTGGCGTAGAGGTGTTTTGGTCTGGAGTAAGCCGCTCAAAGGAACAACGCGGTCAAACCAAATCTCCGATCTACCGAAATCATGTGGCATAAGCCTCGTCGCACGCTGACAGTTCACGCGTTCCTGTTGGAGCAAACCAAACCTTGATTCTTGTCTGAGGGCAATCCTGAAAGAAGCAAAATCGCGCAACCAACCCTAGCTTCTTTGCTTGTCAGCCACACATTGGTTCCTTGGCAGTCGCCGAATAAACTGCTATGGCCATTGGCAGGATCAACGCCTTCTTGGTTCCACACAGACACCATCGCGGAGTCAGAGTTTTCACAAGGCATAGAAAGACCCTGACTATCACTGTCACAATGTGGGCTTCTGGTAGGGCACATGTCCGAGAGCGGCGTGGCTCATGATAGCCCGTCTCTCGACCAGACTCAACAGATGTGTTGTTGAAAAGTCCAGTCAGTCTCACCACCAGTCAGACCTGTCTCTACTTGCATGTCACACATGCACTCACAACATTTGCCAAAATAAAGGTAAATCCATCTAACGCAACCCTTTCACACAAGGCACCAAAGCATTAATTCGAGGCTTCACAACAATCCTCTAGAAAAAACAATCAGGTCGAAAAGGCAACGTAGAGGACCAGAAAGGAGGACGCTAACGCAAAAAAGGTGAAAGCGCACAGATCGAAGAACTGTAAAGCTCTTACTGAAATCACAGAGCGTAAGATTCGCAGGAGAGCCACGTTTGTCCCACTGTGAGTTACATATTCACCTGTCCCAATCGTTGCTTTCATCACACCGCCAAAATTAGGACAGAAACTACAATTCTGAACAGAGGAGCTGCGGAGACATCCTCGTACCCATGCTTCAAATCGGGAGCTGTACCAATCATACCACAAGCTGCCCCCAATTCTCTCACCACACTTTTCCGACGGACTATGCCCTTTCTGCCAGACACGCGCGCTTGTTGCTTCGGGCAGACATTCCACTCACTTCATTCCAGCCGCCTCCCTTTGCCCATGCCCATTGACGGAGGACAAGAATGGCGCCCCTTCACCAACGCCTCTCTCAGGCAAGCAAGTAAAGGTCCTTGGGCTCGGTGAGCCCCTTCCTGATCTTCCTTGCGGCACTAGCGCAGATGCGCAGGCTACCAAACACACCAACAAACCGGTGAACGGCCGGATTGAAGGAAATAAAAGCCTAGCGCAATTTGGTCCTGGGCCTAGCACAATCCAGCGAAGGCTGATCTTCACTTGGACCCCCAGCAAAAAGCTAAGAATCTGGCAGCTTATTTCTTCTCTATACAAACCGTGGAACATCCGAAAACCACTGGTTCACCTTCGGAGCGGCCATTGGACAAGTCGCGGCACCTCAGGGAAGCGATGACTCCACCCACGCGCTGGGCGTAAGTAACCTGGCCCGGATGCAAACTGGGCAGAAACAAAGGCGCCAAGAGAAAGAACAAGTAGAGCGAAGCAATAAGAATTATAGTACCGGATAGCCCCACATGTTCACAACTTCACCAGACACAGGAGCGGACAATTGGTGGTTGGCGGGTGACAATTGGTGCGGCAGTTTGTTGGTGGCAAATGGTTGGTGGCAATTGGTCGACGACAGCCGGTTGATGACAATTGGTTGGTGACAATTGGTTGGTAGCAATTGGTTGGTAGCAATTGGTGGGTGGCAAATGATTGCGGGTGGCAGATGGTTGATGACAATTGGTTGATGACAATTGGTTGGCGACACTTAGTTGGTAGCAATTGGTTGGTAGCCATTGGTGGGTGGCAATTGATTGTGGGTGGCAGTTGGTTGATGACAATTGGTTGATGACAATTGGTTGGTGACAATTAGTTGGTGGCAATTGGTTGGTAGCAATTGGTGGGCGGCAATTGATTGTGGGTGGCAACTGGTTGATGACAACTGGTTGATGACAATTGGTTGGTGACAACGAGTCGGTGGCAATTGGTTGGTGACAATTGGTTGGTGATGATTGGTTTGTGGCAATTGGTTGGCGACAACTGGTTGGCGCGTCTCTGCCCTTCTGAAAGTGTTATTTTTGAAAGCCTGTTTCTTTTTAAACATGGTCCTCAACCAATTGTCATCAACCAATTGCCACCCACAATCAATTGCCGCCCACCAATTGTCACCTACGCAGACAATTCTCTCTAGCTAAGTTGCTAACATGTGGGGTTATCCGGCCCTATAATGTGATCTTGTGAAGTTGGTAGCAGTTGGTTGGCGACAACTCGTTGGAGACAATTGGTTGGTAACAATTGATTGATGACACTTTGGTCGGTAACAAATGATGGGGCTATGTTAACACATCTTGGACCTATCCTGGGGGCCTCTGTTGGCTCATCTTGGGGTGCATTTTGCGCCATTTGCGTTGACACGGGCCCATCACTAAAAAAAAATCCAAGTACGCACGTCCGGGCGGCGCCCGTTACCGACACCACCCTTGTAAAACCCACGGTTTTTGCATTTCGCCACTGTCCAAATTGTGGATCTCCCACGCCCACAAAACCCTGTGAAACACAGTTTTTGAACACCTCGCGCGCAAATCACAGCGGAACAGCGACGGAGACCCAGCAGCGCCAGCCAGCGCCAGGGCGTACATCCCACCCCTGGTGAAGACAATTAAGCAAGCAAATCATAATTGCTTGGCGACAATTCGTCGATGACAATTTGTTGGTGATTGGTTGATGACAATTGGTTGGTGACATTTGGTTGATGACAATGCGGTTGATGACACTTGGTTGGTGAGTTGATGACAAGCGGTTGTTGACAACTGGCTGTGTGACAATTGGTGGGTGGCAATTGGTTGATGACAAGTGGTGGGTAGCAATTGGTCGATGACAATTGGTTGATGACAATTAGGGCAGTTGGTTGGTGCGGGATGCGTGAGGAGGAGGAGGAGGAGGAAGGAGGAGCGGATACCACACTAAAAACAAAAAACCACACGTCAATGTGGGGAACAACACAAAACAAAAATTAACCCAGCTGGCAACCTTAAAACAACAGCTGCCACTAAGAGCCAAGATCTGGTGCATATTGCTGCTTGTTTTGCTCATTGCGTTGTTCTTTCTTTCACTTATCAGGCATCGAAACGTTGACAGTTACGCAGTCGCAACGTGGCAAAACCAGTTGCGCGCAAGTCAAATGTGAATTGCATAGACCGCGAGGCACTCAAGGAGTGTACGCCGATTGTACGTTCAAGTGCCTGCGCATCGCTTTTTGCGCGTGAACTCACGTCAATCAGCGCAACAAGAGATTCGCACAAAGGAAGACAGGCGTCTACTTGTAAATCCGCCCGCACCGAAGGTGCCGAGGGTCGTGGCAACAGCAATCAGAAGAAATCTGCTAGATAAATCTTAAGCTTTAGCTTGGGGTTACGAAACGCTGCGTTTTACAGTGCTTCAGGAAGATGGACAAAAATTGGACCAAACGTTGGCGACGCCTGTTACGCCGGCCGGGGGGAAATCGCACTATCGACATCGCGTGCTCTCCAACAGAAGATTGGTCTCAGGAAAGACGTGATTCATATCGCGTGTGTGGTTTTGGTGGAGAGGTTGGGTAGGCTCTCCGACTGAAGATTGGTGACAAGGAAAGAGGCGACTCATATCGCGCGTGTGGTCTGGTCTTGGTGGAGGGGAAACGATCGGTAGCGCCAGCCACTTGTCTCCAACCTTTTCCCTTTGATCTGCGCGGGCGGCTTCGACCGCGAAGCGGTGTGAATATCTAAGGCGCCATTTCAAATTTTCTGTCCGACAGAGAATGAAAAGTATACAGAAAAGAAAGACCAAAAAAACACATTATCACCAAAAGAGACAGAAAGTGTATGTATGGACGAATGCAAAATTTAAACGCGACAGGCGCAATGAACGCAGTCAGTCGCCAAAGAAGAGAGACACTTTAAGTATTTGCACTGGGGAAGATATACGTTTGGACACGCAAGCGCTAGTTTATACACAAGCACGCGGACCAAGCGAATATTGACAAGCAAAGTGTTTTCAGACAATATACATCTAAGCAGTGAATGTATGTACATGCGCCAATGCACGACTTCTACGCAACCAACACAAGAAACGACGCTTCAAGCAACCGGTATTCTACGCGTCGAACACAATCTTCCGCCTAAAGTATGTTGAAAAATTCAACAACCAAGCGCAATGGGTGACCATATTGTATGTTCAGGCGCCAGCGAATGTTCTATTCGGGGGAAGAACCATGTCAACACACCACAACAAGAGATTCGCACCAGGCAAGATAGGCTAGTGTGTGTCACAGTTCTATTCGTACAGAACACCAAAACAAAATACAATCACGCAAGGGAAGCAAGTATACAAGGACGAATGCATAGGTATAATTCAAGCGCGAAAGGCTCAACAAATGCAGCTGTCAAAGAGAACATACTTCAAGTAGTGGCGCCAGGGATGTTTGGGCGCGCAAATGAATATTTTTTAGAGGCGCGCAAAACCAGGGAATATTCAAACGCGCAAGATGTTTCCCGGAAAATACCTCCACACAGTGATTGTACGTATATGCGTCAATGCGCGACTCTTGCACGAATTACGGGAGAAACGCAATGTCAAGAAAGCAGTACTTTACACGTCGAAAGCAGTTTTCTTTCCATCAAGCCCAGAACGTTTGGCAACGCAATCGCGCAGTTACAAAACAAGGCTGAGCCAAAGGCATAGACCGCGAAACGCTAAAAGATTTTCGCAGATTGCCGAAATGTATGTTCCAGCGCTGAAAAGCATACTCCGCGCAAAAAATGGTACCAAAGGAGCTCAGGCGCCAGCATAAAACACATACCAGAAGATCGCACCAAGCGCGATATAGGCGTTTAGCCACGGACTTTCACTCGGACAACACACGCGACGTTTCCAAGGGTATTTAACCTGAACAAACGGCAACAATAGCAACGACAAAAAGCAAAGAGAATATGATTACGTCAGCGTAAGTTCCAAACAGTTTCAACCTTCTTGTTCCCGTCAACCCCTTACATTCCCACGTTGGCCATAACGCCTGCGGTTTTGTCCTGTAGCTGGTCACACGATAGTAGCGACGATGTTCTGCTAACGCCGAAATGAAGCAGATGATACCTGCGGGGCAACAGTCCTATGAGACATCCTTGCGGCGCATTCTTGTGGGGCTCTTGAAAACACTCTTGCTTGACGTTTGTGGCGCGCAGCGCTCTCGTGGGACACTCTGTCAAACATTCTTATCCAACACTCCTGTAGGACACCCACCCCGCTCGCCAGTGACACGCCACCTCTACGTGTTTCGTTTCTCATCCGCATCCCGCCCCTAGGCGTCAAGCCGCGTTTTCGCACGCACGCTCTTCCCAATGGCGTGGAGCCACGCAAACTCACTTTCCACCGAGGCCGCGTAAAACCGCGTGGCACAGCGACATCGCAGACATAATTGCCACACTATGTGTCACACACTAGATGCACGCAGCCCAGAGCCAGGGTTCCACAAAGCCACACAACGTTGCCAGTTGAGCAGAAGTTGCCACTTCTCCGCCCAGCCAGAAGCTACTTCCGGCACTACAAAGGTGCCAGTTGAGAGGCCTGCTTCCTGCGCTATACATTGTACTACAAACTGTCCAGCCGCGAGCCTGCGCTTCCAGACACAACTTCTCGCGCTACGTTTGCGCTGCTAAGTTTTGCCAGCGATCAGCGTCAGTGACAGTTACGCGTTTTGGGCGTCCACCTTGGCACTTTGGCAACTCGACGCGCGCAATCTCCGCAAAGGGTTCAAGGCCGGGCTCAACAGCATCACCAGAATCAGAACTCGCATTTCGCCTGCCGGTCGGGCACTCAACATGCACAATCTCCACAAAGGGCTTGCTGACGTCCCCAAGAATTCGCGTTCGGCCTTCTGTTTGAGCAGTCAACACTCGTGATCTCCGCAACGGTTTCACCCATGAGCCTCCGTATTTCCGCGCGATCTCTGCGCAGGGTCGTCCCGTGGCACAGGACGATTTGCATATTACCACAGCTTCGCGGTCACTTTTTTTAGTCGTCGGCCGGGCCAGTGCGCCGTAGAAAGACGTCGAAGTTGTTGTTGTGTAGGTGGGTCTTTTTGGTGTCCTCGCCTGTATCTCAACACCTGTATCCACACACTACCTGAATCTAAGCACCTGCGTCTACACACATGTATCGAAGCACTGCCGGCGTGTTGTAGGAGTGCATCACCGGCATCTCTGCATCTGTACGACATTGTAAATGATGATGATGATGATGATGACGATGAGGACGATGATGATGGCGATGATGACTGATGAATCATGATGATGACGAGGATGACGAAAATGGCGGCTCTGATAAAATGAGGACAATAATGAAGGCGACGACGACGATGATGATGATGATGACGACGATGAGAACGATGATGATGAATGCGACT